GATGATGATGATGATGATGATGATGATGATGATGATGATGAAGAAGAAGAAAAGACAGGATCTGGTGCATAGGACATTTAAGACTCTGGAGTCATAGCTAAAAGGAGAGGTGTCAAAACAAACCAGTGAATAATGCATTGTTTCTGCATCCTGGGTGACGCTGCCACCTTGTGTTTTGCTTTCAAACTGCAGGTGTTAGACAACGATGTCAACGACAAATATAAAACGGTAGAAAACTTAATTGCCAAGAAATCCGAAGAGTCTGCAGATGCCAGGAAGAAAGCCGAAGCACTACAGAACGAAGCCAAAACACTGTTAGATCAAGCAAACAGCAAACTTCAGCTCCTCAAAGGTAAAGCTCAATATGGAAGTGCCCATAAATGTGTTCTCAATTATACGAAGCTGAACATTCCTCGCCTCCCAAATCCATTTCCACAGCACCATGGCACAAAACATTATCAAATCCAGCTGTTATTTGAATTTTTATAAGAAACTTCTCTATTTCTCTCTCTTGAGTAAGACCAAACAGCTTATATTGTGAGACTGGGCTTGTTTCCAGTTGCATCTTGGTCTTTTCTCCAAATGCAATGGATGATCTGCGTAGGGAACTTGACAGATGGAGTGTGTCCCTGTTGGTTCTCCTGGACCTCTCTGTTGCCTTCGATACCCTAGACCACAATATCCTCCTGGGACACCTCATGGGAATGGGGCTTGGAGACACTGTTTTGCAATAGCTCAAGTCCTTCCTGCAGGGTTGGTCTCAGGTGTTATTGAGGGGCACTTGCTCGACCCCGCAGCCATTGTCCTACATGAAGCCGCTCGGTGAGATCATCCAGAGTTTTAGAGTTTGATGCCATCTATATGCAGATGACATTCAATTCTATTACTTCTTTCCATCTGCTGCTAAGGAGGCTGTTCAGGTCCTGAAACAGTGCTTGGCTGCGGGCGAACAAATTGAAACTGAATCCAGACAAGACGGACGTACTCCTGGTCAGTCATAAGGCCGAACAGGATATAGGGTTACAGCCTGTGCTGGAATGGGGTTACACTCTCCTTGAAAACACAGGTTCACAGCTTGGGAGTTCTCCTGGACTCTTCGCTGAGTCTGGAACAAGTTTCTGTGGTGGCCACGATTAGAATTTGTGTGCCAGCTGCGCCCTTGGGAAGTCAGACTTAGCCACAGTAGTCTATGCTCTTGTTCTATCTCAAATAGATTACTGCAACACATTCTACGTGGGGTTGCCTTTGAACACTGTTCGGAAGCTTCAAGTAGTCCCAACGGGGGGCAGCCAGGTTGCGTATTGGAGCAGCATACAAGGAGTATATCCCCTTTTGTGTCAGCTCTACTAGCTGCCAGTCTGCTATCGAACAGAATTCAAAGTGCTCACCTCGAAGGGGACTCAGAGCGGCTTACAAGATATGTATACATATAATATACTATATTATTACATTATCAGTATTATCAGTTTCTCAAGTCGCTCCTGACACGACAAAAAAAAAATCAGTATTAACTATTACTGTATTATACAATTATTGTATATTGTATTATACGATTATATTGTAATATTAGTAATATTGCATGTAATCTAAATATATAATTATATTATTATTATTAGTATTATATTGCATTACCTTATATTATATGTATATACAATATATTATATTATACTATTAACATAGCACAGGAGACAAGGTGGAACTGTCCCCTGGCCCCCTTTCTCTTCACTCTGGCCCAGAGCGGCACTTGGTGCTGGGGGGAGGGGTCCCCAGCTGATGACATATGCAGGTGACAAAATGAAACTCTCCTCTGCCCCCCCCCTTCACTCTGGCCCACAGTGGTACTTGGTACTGGGGGGAGGGGTCTCAAGCTGATGACATATGCAGGAGACAAGATGGAACTATCACCTGCCCCCCTGCTTCACTCTGGCCCAGAGTGGAACTTGGTACTGGGGGGAGGGGTCTCAAGCTGATGACATATGCAGGAGACAAGATGGAACTGTCACATGCCCCCCCTTCACTCTGGCCCAGAGCAGCACTTGGTGCTGGGGGGAGGGGTTTCCAGCTGATGACATATGCAGGAGACAAGATGGAACTGTCACCTGCCCCCCCTTCACTCTGGCCCACAGTGGTACTTGGTGCTGGGGGGAGGGGCCCCCAGCTGATGACATATGCAGGAGACAAGATGGAACTGTCACATGCCCCCCCCCCCTTCTCTCTGGCCCACAGTCACTTGGTGCTGGGGGGAGGGGGCCCAATGATGCATATGCAGGAGACAAGATGGAACTGTCACATGCCCCCCCCCTTCACTCTGACCCAAAGCGGTACTTGGTCTGGGGGGAGGGGTCCCCAGCTGATGACATATGCAGGAGACAAGATGGAACTGTCCCCTCTGGCCCCCCTCTCTTCACTCTGGCCCAGAGCAGCAGTTGGTGCTACTGATGACATATGAGCCAGCTAGAATATTAAGATCTGCCGGGGAGATCCTGCTCTTGGTCCCACTACCTTCGCAGGTGCGATTGTTGGGGACAAGAGACAGTGTCTTCTCAGTGGTGACCTTCGGCTCTGGAACTCTCTCCCTAGTGAGATTACATTGCCCCCCTCCCTCCTAGCATTCAGGAAACAACTTAAGACTTAGTTATTCAAGCAGTCATTGAGCAAATGACAATTATGGAAGTAGCTAAAAACACCTGGGATTTATGCAGTGTCCTAATGTTTTATGTTATGTTTGTGATTGTTGTTATAAGTTTTTGGTTTTAATGGTTTTAATCTATTGTCATGTTGTTTATTTTTGATACATGATGTTTTATACATGTAAAGCATTGCATTTTTCCATTGATTATGTTGTGAACCGCTTTGATTCCTCAAAGGTGAAAAAAGTGGTATATAAATGCAATAAATAAATACAATAAAATAATAAATAAATCCCACATGCCACTTGCTGCTAGATTAACCTAACTTCTGTATTCCCTTTTCTTGCAGAGTTGGAAGACACCTATGAGAAAAACCAACAAATTTTAGAAGACAAGGCCAGGCAAGTGGTGCAATTGGAAGAGACCGTTCGTGGCCTCTTGCAGGCCATCAGCCAAAAAGTTGCGGTTTACAGTACTTGTTAATAATTGGAATTTGGAATGAAGACCTTAAGGAGGAAAAAATATGAATCAGAAGACAAGTTGTGTACCACCGAAGCACCTGAGAAGACTAAATACCAGCTTTAGTAACTTGAAACCAAATATTTTTTTATCTCTTGCCTTACAAAATAAAAAAATAGTACTTTTGTAACAAAGTATACGATTCATTTAACCAATGTTATTTTATTATCCCAAATGGCAATTAACCCTTTTTAAACTGCCAATAAAATATTAGCTTCAAAGATGGGGTTTTAAACCAATTACTTTCAATTATAGGCCCCTGCTTTCTGGCCTTAACACTATACACGGGATGCCATTGTTTTACATTCACTCATTGTCACTATTCCCAATTTGTTGGAAATGCTACGCGGTCAAATTTGTTGTGCTTGTACATAATAAGACTGGGATGAACAAGACAAATTATTTCCTTTTAACAGCTACATGAAAATCAATATATCAATAACTACCATGCATCTGTTTCAAACTGTTTTAATACCCCACTTAAGACACATCACAAGAAAGATGTAGGGAAAATGCACCTTTGAATTTACAGGTTGAACCCAAAGATGCTGTCCTGCTCACGAAAGGAGCATTTTACTAATACGAAAGTGTGTGAGTTATGTGTGAACTTCCCCTTTCACCAAACTACGTATATTTGTATATCCAAATCAAAATATGCTTAGTTGTTGTAGGTTTTTTCGGGCTATATGGCCATGGTCTAGAGGCATTCTCTCCTGACGTTTCGCCTGCATCTATGGCAAGCATCTTCAGAGGTAGTGAGGTCCGTTGGAACTAGGAAAAAGGGTTTATATATCTGTGGAATGACCAGGGTGAGACAAAGGGCTCTTGTCTGCTGGAGCTACGTGTGAATGTTTCAACTGACCACCTTGATTAGCATATAATGGCCTAACAGTGTCTGGAGCAAACTTTTGTTGAGAGGTGATTAGATGTCCTTGTTTGTTTCCTCTCTGTTGTTGTACTGTTGTAACCACTAACCGCATAGGGAAGCTGATGAGGAAACGCAACATACAAACTATCTACAGACCCACCAAGAAAATCCAACAAATGCTATGTTCAGCAAAGGACAAGAGGGATCCTCTCACTTCTGCAGGAGTCTACCGTACACCATGCAGCTGTGGACAAGTCTACAAAGGGACCACCAAACGCAGCATGGCTCAAATACGAATCAAGGAACATGAAAGGCACTGCAAACTACTTCAACCAGAGAAATCAGCCATAGCAGAGCACCTGATGAACCAACCTGGACACAGCATATTATTTGAGAACACAGATGCTGGACCACTCTCACAACCACCATGTCAGACTACACAGAGAAGCCATTGAAATCCACAAGCATGTGGACAATTTCAACAGAAAGGAGGAAACCATGAAAATGAACAAAATCTGGCTACCAGTATTAAAAAAACTCTAAAATTACAACAGCACAACAACAGAGAGGAAACAAACAAGGACATCTAATCACCTCTCAACAAAAGCTTGCTCCAGGCACTGTCAGGCCATTATATGCTAATCAAGGTGGTCAGTTGAAACATTCACACCTAGCTCCAGCAGACAAGAGCCCTTTGTCTCACCCTGGTCATTCCACAGATATATAAACCCTTTTGCCTAGTTCCAACAGACCTCACTACGTCTGAGGATGCTTGCCATAGATGCAGGCGAAACGTCAGGAGAGAATGCCTCTAGACCATGGCCATATAGCCCGAAAAAACCTGCAACAACCCAGTGATTCTGGCCATGAAAACCTTCGACAAAACATCAAAATATGCTTACACTGCATGTTTTTATTTCCAAGGGTTACCTTATATTTGGACTTGTATTATTTGCACAAAAAAAGTCAATTTTTACATGGTATTTTTTTCCAAAAAATTATTATCTTTATTTATACCCCACTTTTTCTCTCCACAAAGGAGACTCAAAGCAAATCAAAGTCGCCATTCTGTTGAACTAAATTGGGGAAGTTTGAAAAGAGGCCTGTTTGTGTATCAAACTATTTTGTAATACTTTATGCAGCACACATGTCTTCATTTCTGTCCCAGGCATGAACCTATACTCCTAAACCAATTCTTATAGTGACCATTCTGTATCTAAAGTTAAAAAATGCCTCAAAATAAATGTTAATCTTTCCTTAGTTCCCATTCTTTTACCCAAGTCTTTTTGAAACTGTGTGTCGGCAGCAGTAACGTCTATCGGAACACCTCAACACACCCGACTGAAAACATTATCATTTATACATTACTATCAGGAAGAAAACCATTACAGTCCATAATTTAAAAGCTATAGCCAAATTGCATAGCCAACGTATCCTGTTAACAAAACAATTCAAAACTGATCTCAGCCACTTGCAGCTTTTCACTTGTCATTTCAGAGATTTTTTTAAAGTTTGCAACCACATTTTTTAAAATTAAGCAGAAAAGAGAGGATTCTTATCAATGTTTTCCCCACTCCATTGGTGTTCTCTGAAAGAATTTTGCAATTTCACTAAAGTGGAGGTATTTTCAGTATTTAAAAAAAGGCATAAAGCAAAATCAGGTCCATACATTTTGAAGTCCTCTGCACTATCAAGTCTAGCTTTAGTTTAGAGCAATGCAAAAAAAAAAAAAAGTATGCAATAAAATCTACAGTTAATTGTAGATTTTAGGGGCAAAGGACCCCTGCCAAAGTTTTTTTAAAAAACCAAATATTGTTTTCTTTCTTTTTTATCTGTTTTTATACCACCCTCTCTAAGATTATCTAGCTTCTTCAGCATGGCTCTATGGTCAACTAGAACTGGATTGTACAGGGTGAGGCAGCATAACTTCCTTTTTTAAAATGTGCGCCATTCAGTCGGTTGAAGACGTAGTGGAGCGCTAGTGGTCTTGTTCAAGAGGCGGGAGTATAAAGTTTTGTCCTGACACAGTTCAGTCGCCATCATGCGTTGGAACAGTGAGGAGCGTGCTTTTGCTGTTGAGGCCTACTTTTCGCACGGATTTGGAGTGGCCGTCCCGCTCTCCAGATTTGGCCCCTTGTGATTTTTTTCTATGGTTTTTTTTTTTTTTGAAATCCCGTGTTTATGTGAACCATCCAAGGGCCCTACAAGATTTGAAGACCAACATCCAGGAAGAAATTGCCAACATAACGCCTGCTATGCTGGCAAGAGTCATGACAAACAGCAGAAATCGGTTTACTCATTGTATGGAGAATGGGGGATGCCACCTAATTTAATCTTCCAAACTACGTAAAACGAAACTTTATGTATGCACCTACATTATAAAAAAATAAAAAAAATCCGATTCATACAATGGGTTTTATTAAGTTTTGAAAAAAGGAAGTTATGCTGCCTCACTCTGTATTTAGAGGACTTAAAGTTCGCAGAGAGATGTTCTCTCAAGGAATTTCTAGGTCCTTTACTTTAATACTATGATCACTGGAGTGCCTAGAGATCCTAGAGGGAGAGCCCTTCCACAAAACCCTATATCCCAGAATATCAAGGCAGAAAATCTCACAATATCTGCTTTGAACTGGGTTATCAAATCCACACTGCCATATATTCCAGTTCAAAGCAGTTCATGTGGAATTTTATTCAGAGTTGTGTGGAAGGAGCTTGAGTATTTTAATCATATCTATGAATAACCAAATCCTAAAAAGTCAAAGCCAGAAATGCAGAGGGCCGGCTGTATTGCTTATTCCTTTCATTGAAATTACAATAGCAATGTGCGAAGGTGACAGCAGCATATAGTGTCAACCCACTGTAGTCAAGGTTCCTCATCAACAACAGAACGCTAGATAATAATGAGCCATTATATTTTGCCCAGCAACATGATGGAACTGTGAAGGACTCTACAATCTTAAGCAGTGATCTCCATTGCTTGTATCCTGCCAAACTCAGAATGTAGAAACAAACAGAAATCAATATATTCAATATACATGTGTTGGTGCTTTCCCCTCTCCACAACCTCATACTGTTTTAAATATTTTGCATTTTAAACAAAAGTTCATTGAAGTCGTCTGAGAAACATTCCAAAGACCAAGCTTTCTACAAAGCCTCTAGTCTTTACAGGAAAATAAGCTTTGTACACCATTGATATCCTTTCATTTTAGAAGTTGATAGCTTTGCCAAATGATGCTGCCAGGTTCGCTTCCCTGAAGGCTTCAGATACAGTCTGTTAAAAACAAAGGAAAGTAATTAGAAAATTAAAAAGGCAAGGAGTATAGAGAACAAAAAACATGCAGGCTGAGGTTCTAGATCAGAGCTTTCCAAATTGCAACAGGAACTTCTGATTGTTGCCCCAGAGGAAGGGGGTGGAAATGTCAATATGCTGCATACCAATTGATGGGGGGGGGGGGGGGAGCCCTCCATCACTTATAAAGGCTGCTGCCCAGAAAAATAAGATTAGGGAGTGTTTAAGATCATGGCAATAGTGCTGCAATCATGAATAGTTTTTGTGAATCCAAATCAATTACACATGCTAACTCCAGGTTACACATTACATACTATTATTATTGTAATTACCGACTGGGCGTAAAAGATGACCCCCAACTTTTCCAGTTAAAATATAGAGTTTGGTATATACTCGCCGTATAAGACAACCCCTCTTCCAACGCACACCAAATAAAAATTTAAAAAGCATCAGATTAGATTTCAATATGGTAATTTTCCTATTACTGTACCTCCTCCTCTGCCTCTCAGATCTCGCACATGCGCACCTGCACCACTTTACTACAGTCTTCAGGACCAAGATCTGAGAGGCAGAGGAGGAGGTACAGTAATAGGATACAAGGGCGGGCTAGATAGGTAAAAGAGGTGTGTTTTTCTGGGCCCAGAGCCACTCTATCTCTTTTTCCATACCCCGGGCGCCCCAGAAGCCTACAGCTTGCTCCACCCTTCACTTACACCTTCCCAGTGAGGCGCCCCTTCACCTCACCATCGGGACCACATTAAGTCCACAAATCCTGATGAATGGATTTTCTTCTACCATACTTGTACAGCGTCGCCCTTAATGGTTTCATACAGTCACTGCATACGGCAGGGACATGGCCATTGCCATTTTTGAGCTTCCCCCACAATATGCAGCAACCACAGATTCTCCAATCCGATTGGAAGTTTCAGCACCCACTCTATAAGACAACTCCCATGTATAAGACTACTCCCGCATATAAGACGAACCCTGACTTTTGAGAAGATTTTTTTGGGGTTAAAAAGTAGTCTTATACACCAGAATATACGGTACTATTACAATAATAATAGTAATAACCATTTTATTTTTGTACCCCGCCTCCAACTCCCGAAGGGACTTGGGGCAGCTTACACATGACACAAAGTTCCTAAAACATTTAAAAAAAACACACACACAGTACAAGTAAAAACCAACGGCATATAAAACAATTTAAAATTCAGAACAACGCCCAATAACCTATGGTAACAAGTGACAAAATGACACAAAGAGCTTACTGGATGTGCATGGCAAACTCTAGCTACATCTTCACACGATGCTCCGTATTCCATTGCAAGAGCAGCTTCATTGATCATTTCTCCAGCCCCCTGAAGAAACAGTGATACAAGAAATGCATGACAGAGGCAAAAGTAGAATAGCCCTTCAGATAATAAAAGTAAGACTAAATTGTAGGATCTGTGTTAACTGTGCAGATCAATATATGATACAGGCAGTCCCTGAGTTACAAACATTCAACTTACATCCGAGTCATAGTTCAGAACGAGGCTGAGACAACAGGAAGTGAGAGGAAATCTACCTCTAGAAAGGCAAATTCACTCCTGGAAAAAAGGTGTCTCCACTGAAGCTTTAAGATCTTTAAGATCTTCTGGAGGGGTTCTGCTCTCGGTCCCGCCATCATCACAAGCACGGCTGGCGGGAACGAGACAGGGTCTTCTCAGTGGTGGCCCCTCGGCTATGGAACGCCCTTCTAAGGGAGATCAGATCGGCTTCTTCGCTCCTAGCATTTCGGAAGAAACCTAAGACATGGCCATTCGAGCATTTGCGAATACTGAGTAACGGATATAAGAACGGAACAACTACATGACGGGACCGGACATTGTTTTAATGAGTATTTATTGAATTATGTTTTATTACAGTGTTATGATTTTATTGATGTTGACATTTTATATTGTAATTGTGGAGCCCCCGGTGGCGCAGTGGGTTAAAGCACTGTGCCGGCAGAACTGAAGACCGACAGGTCGCAGGTTCGAATCCGGGGAGAGGCGGATGAGCTCCCTCTATTAGCTCCAGCTCCTCATGCGGGGACATGAGAGAAGCCTCCCACAAGGATGATAAAACATCAAAAATCATCCAGGCGTCCCCTGGGCAACGTCCTTGCAGACGGCCAATTCTCTCACAACAGGAGCAGTTGCTCCTGACACGACAAAAAAAAAAAATTGTAATTGTGTTCTTGGTGGCATTGAATTTTGCCTTGTAAACTGTCTCGAGTCGTCGGAAGGCTAAGAGGGCCGGTATACAAATGTAGCAAATAAATAAATAAATTTCTCACCAATCCTTGTTTCCACAACAACCCAAAACTTTCAAAATACTATTGTTGTCACAAAGACAGAAAATGAGGTGAAATCTTCTGAACAAGGGAACAGACAGCAAAATAAACACTACAGGAATGTTAACTCTTCCCTATGCTATCCAAAACTGGGGGAAATTTGGCTGGAGTTAGTAAAGGTTTCCCCTTGACATTAAATCTAGTCATGTCCAACTCTGGGGTTTAGTGTTTATCTCCATTTCTAAGCAAAAGAGCTGGTGTTGTCCGTAGACGCCTCCTAGTTCATGTGGCTGGCATGACTGCATGGAGCACCCTTACCTTCCCATTGAAGCAGTACCTACTGCTCACATTTGCATGTTTTCAAACTGCTAGGTTGGCAGAAGCTGACAACAGGAGCTCACCCTGCTCCTCAGATTCAAACTGCTGATCTTTCAGTCAACAAGTTCAGCAGCTCTGCAGTTTAATCCGCTTCACCACCGGGGCCTGGAGCTACACTTAAAAACTATACATGTTCCGACTTCCATACAAATTCAGCTTAAGAACAGATGTACAGAACCTATCTTGTTCGCTATTTGGGGACTGGCTGTACTTGCAAATGTTTGTGCTAAACACGTGTAAGTTTCCATCTTAAAAAATTAAAGGACGGGATCTTGCTCAGAGGGCATCTTATGAAGGATTCATAATTTTACACTGATGCACCTACATCTCCCACATGATACACAACCCTTCTAATAATTGTGACAATGTGCATCCAGAGCATCCCACTGCATAATGGGAAGTCCGATTGTGCAACTGGGCAATATGCAATGGAGTCCTTGCAATACAGTAAGAGACATGTTGTTACAGCAGCTCTATTCATGATACTGTTAAATACGAAGAATACAAATGTAGTATTACAGCCCATTTATATTTTTGCAAGATGGCGGGGCTCAACTGCCTAACAGAATGCAACCAAATTGTTTAGTATCTGAGTAATGAACAAGGTATGTGTTTATTTTAATTGTCCATGAATACAAAACTTCGTATCCAGATACTTTCCTCAGAAATAGTTAACATATATAATAAATACACTGCAAATAATGCCAAGGGGTGTGCATATCAAGTGTTTCGGAGGTTAAATCAGCTGTCTAGGACAGATAAAACAAGTTAAATATGTAAAGGATTTTGAATTCCTAGGAGCTATGTGTAAATGTTTCAACAACAGCATTGCACACTGCTCAGTTATTTTGGATTCCTATTAATCAGACATAAGGGGCTTCAAGGTTCCTGAAAGGTACTCACTGCGCCTAGAATATGAGCTCCGAGCATCCTGTCAGTTGTTTTGTGGCTTAGCATCTTCACCAACCCATCTGTATCAGCATTGGTCTTTGCTCTGCTGTTAGCAGCAAAAGGAAATTTCCCAACTTTGTACTCTATCCCCTAAAAAGAAAATATAATATATATAAGTTACTGGAAATTATCAATTGTATCTGGCAAAAAATGAGGTTTTCCCCTGACATTAAGTCCAGTCGTGTTTGACTCTGGGGGTTGGTGTTCATCTCCATTTCTAAGCCGAAGAGCTGGCATTGTCCATAGACACCTCCAAGGTCATGCGGCCAGTATGACATGCATTAAGACTAACAATTGTCTAAAAAAGCAGTTGTTTCATCACACATATTCTAGTTCCTTTGGAGGTGGGAAACCTGAACCTTGAGCTACGGCATATCACAGGGGCACTGGAGACTGACATTAATATTCCATCATGCAAATATGAGTACAGATAAATAAATGAAAATATGGGGAATTCTAAACTTTCGAGGTAGATGTCAGAAAGAAAGGTTTGAGTGAAATTTCAAGTGATTACTATACATAGAAAAGCTTTCGTCATAAAGTTCCCACATTCTATCTGTCCAACCTAGAGACAACTGAATATCTTTGTGCAGGATCTTCTAACATTTCACTAAAAGCAGGACTGCGGCCTGGGACTGATTTAAGGAAGGGACATATCACCAGAGAGTGAAACATCTATTTTCCTGTTCACACCTGAGGCTTTCCTTTCCTCCAACTGAGACCCCAATCCTGAGACCCCAATCCTTTCCTCCAACTGAGACCCCAATGCTTTGCTGAAAACAAAATGGTAGTTGAACAAAGAAACTACCAGAAGGTATGCTATAAGGAGGCAATATTCTCCTTTTGTTTCAGTTCTTTAACAACTTAATAATGTTGCAATAGTCATAAAATATATCTTTAACTAAAACAGTCCTCAAAACCAACAATAAAGTCACTTTTAAGGACCAAAAGCCATGAAGAATTCAGTCCTGGTTGTCTGCCAGAAGCTCAATAGGGATGGGCGCAGCCTGACCTCCCATGGGAAGGGATTTCACAATTCAGTGCTACTATAGATAACTATAATTCAAATCACGCAATGTAGTTATTATATTTCCATTAGTACATCAATTTTATCTGATTTCAATTCAGAGTTATACAAAGAGAAGGGGAATCATTTTATACTAAATAAGAGTTATAACTTTATCCCATTGGCTTCACTGAGGCAAAAGCGTGATATCTTAGCCAGATCAAATCCCTCACACTTTTTGCGACAGGAAAAGAGCAGAATCCATGAAGTGTACCTCTTCTTTCAGCAGTTCTTCAGATTTGCCGATCCAGGCAACTTCAGGGTGTGTATAAACTACTGAAGGCACACAGTTGTAGTCAATATGAACTGCACCTCCAGCTATTCCCTCAACGCAAAGAATACCTTCATCTTCAGCTTTATGGGCAAGCATTGGCCCAGCAACTACATCACCAATAGCATAAATGCTGCAAGGAAAATGAACCCAAGTGAGAAATTCCACATTGTTATGTATATTAAACATCAAGGTATGTTTTGCATACATTAGCATGACTATAATCACTTACAGAACATGACAAAAAATCTAGAAAAAGTTAAATAGTTGGGTTGTTGTAGGTTGTTTCGGGCTATATGGCCATGTTCCAGAGGCATTCTCTCCTGACGTTTCGCCTGCATCTATGGCAAGCATCCTCAGAGGTAGTGAGGTCTGTTGAAACTAGGAAAAAAGGTTTATATATCTGTGGAATGACCAGGGTGGGATAAAGGGCTCTTGTCTGCTGGAGCTAGGTGTGAATGTCTCAACTGACCACCTCAAGGAACATGAAAGCAGACTACTTCAACCAGAGAAGTCAGCCATAGCAGAGCACCTGATGAACCAACCTGGACACAGCATATTATTTGAGAATACAAAAATGCTGGACCACTCCAACATCCACCATGTCAGACTACACAGAGAAGCCACTGAAATCCACAAGCATGTGGACAATTTCAACAGAAAGGAGGAAACCATGAAAATGAACAAAATCTGGCTACCAGTATTAAAAAAAACTCTAAAATCACAACAGCAAAACAACAGAGAGGAAACAATCTGGGACATCTAATCACCTCTCAACAAAAGATTGCCCCAGGCACTGCCAGGCCATCAAATGCTAATCAAGGTGGTCAGTTGAGACATTCACACCTAGCTCCAGCAGACAAGAGTCCTTTGTCCCACCCTGGTCATTCCAACAGACCTCACTACCTCTGAGGATGCTTGCCATAGATGCAGGCGAAACGTCAGGAGAGAATGCCTCTAGAATATGGCCATATAGCCCGAAAAAACCTACAACAACCCAGTGATTCCGGTCATGAAAGCCTTCGACAACACAGTTAAATAGTTCTAACTTTATTTGAAATGATTTATGTGTTGGGGCAAAATATTTTTGAGACACAGCTTCTTTTTAATCCAAAGACAACTGAGAAACTTAAAAATCCAAAATTCCCAAGCAGTGATGCCTGTACTGAACCAATTCCAAAGTATAAAATACATTATGCAAGCCTGAAGTTTCACCTTCTTCATCAGGAAACCTTTTCAAAAGATATAGGAGAAAAATGGTGGCAATGTTAAAGCTGTATGATTTTCCCCTTGTTTTGCCTGTTTGATTCGTAACCCACATACTGAAAGAGTGACACTTTGAAAGCTAACATAAATACATTTTATGCTTTGGAGTTGTCCCAATAACAGCAATGCTGCTTGTGAATGTGTATGTTGCTGTATGTCCAACACAACTACCAGTAAATATACTTCCTGAGAAACACCAGTCATCTAGATAGCAACCTGACTACAGAATAATCATAGCAAAACTTGGAAACTCCAAACAATGTATCTGACTGATTATAAATCTTCGTGCATTTCAACAATGTAGCCCTTAAGCTCAATTTAATACAAGAATAAAATGAGTGATTTCAATCACCATGTTAGTAGACTAAAAAATAGCAGACTTATAATAATACTATGTAACACGATTGTTGTTCCTGGGTTATAAATGTCATTTCCTAATTGGTTCTATCATAAAAACATGGAAAAAGTTTATTAAACTGCAAAAACTCTGTTTTTGTGGGACATCCTGCAGCAATTTTGCTATAGTTTTTGAATGAATATCTCACAGCATCTCAACCAATTCAACATAGTTTGGGCCAACCACAAAAACAAAGTTTCTGGAGTATGACAACTAATTTCAAAGTAAGTACCGCACAAGTAAACAGGAAATGACTCTTTCAAACCAGGAATTGATTTTTTTTCCAAATTTTGTTACATAGTGTAATCCAACAAAACCACCTGATTATTGTACTTACTTTGGCACTTTGGTTTGGAATCTGTTGTTGATGGGGATTCTACCCCTGTTATCCAGTTCGATACCAACATCTTCCAGACCAAGATTTTTAGTGAAAGGACGTCGCCCAATGCAAACCAAAAGGACATCACAAGTAATCACTTCTGCCTTGCCACCAGCAGCAGCTTCAATCCTAAGAGAGAAAAACAAGTAGGAAAATATTGGTACATAAATAGAGATGCCACACATTGTTAACACATTTCATAGAAGAAAGTTTTAATTATTTTATTTACACATTTCATATAATATTTTAATTATTTTGGTTTTTTTCCCTGCAAGTACATGTAATTACATGGAGAACACATTAAAGCACATGTACATACACAACCCAGATGGTAAGCCTTTTATGCTGACTTCACCATCAAATCGCCATTTCAGTAATGAATAGATGCATTCAACAAATTGTCTTAATCACAGTTCTATTCAGGTGTTCCATTGCCACTCCCCCATCCCTTCTATGTGTATTTTGAAATCCTGCATCCTTTCCTTGTTCCCTATTTTGCTGAGAAAAGTCTGAAAAGCATGAATGGTAACCATGTTCAAGTGAATTTATTTATTTATTTACACATGCTATTGATACCCTGCCTTTCTCTACCCCGAAGGGGACTCAAGACAGACTCATTTACCAAGCTTTGCATCACTGGAAGCTCTGTCTTAACGGGGTTTCTGATTGAATGAAATATTGCTAACTGTGTTCAGCCAAATGCAGTTAGATCTTATTGAGACCTTCCCCAGCAACAGAGTGTTATTGAGAATGGGAAGCCAGCATGAGCTTCAGCTCCCTCCATTCAAATGGAGGGAAAAACGGCTCGAATCCTAGTTAAGACATTCACTGTTGTGCATGAGCAAGAAGCATTTACTCATTCTTACCTTTAATTTTTTTTAAAAAACTAGTACATTTAATTAAATAATATATCATCTTGTTGCTGAAAACTGTCTTTTTAAAAAATCTCTCCACAGATATTGCAAATTTTCTCAGTATTTCTCTGAAATAAACCACATTTCTTTCAGTGCTAAATGTGATAATTGGCTAAATTAGGTTTTTATATAGCAACCCATATGGAGATATATTTTGCAAACTCAATACTTACGCAACATCAATCTTTCCATCCGGTTTCTTGGTAGCACCTGTAACTTTGGTATTTAGTTTAAATTTAAGCCCTTGCTTTTGGAGAATACGTTGGAAGTTTTTCGATATCTCCATGTCGATGCCCAATCCACCAACATGGCCCAAGAATTCCACAGCTGTCACATCAGCACCTAGGCGCTGCCAGACCGAGCCCTGTAATGAGCACAGCAAGTTGAGATTTCAAGGAAAAAGGCAGCTTTATAGTTGCACTATATTGTTTTAGCTACACACTCTTTACAATAATAGCATGTCTAACATGGAAGAGTAACTTCAACTATGAACTTTTTAAACAAACTAATAATAATAATAATAATAATAATAATAATAAACAACTTTATTTATACCCTGCCACCATCGCCCCAAAGGGACTCAGGATGGCTAACATGATACAATATAGCAAAATAAAGTGCAAAATACAACAACAAAAATTACATTACAATAAAGTACATACAGTGGCAAAATAAAGTAAAGCAAAATAGCATAATAGAAAATCGAACACAATGGGCAGGCCAAATTGACAAGATAAAATGAAAAAACCCTGGATGACGTAAGCGTAGAAAAAGTGTACTTGGGAGGAGCCCAAAAAGGACAAACTGTACGGTTAGGCCTTCAATTTAGGGTGGGGGAATGTGCATCATAAGGACAACACTGTAGATGGAACAGACAGAAATGGGATGAATGGTCATTCTCCAAAGGCACAATGGAAGAGCAAGGTTTTCAGATCTTTCTTAAAGGCTGCTAGGGTGGGGGCTTGCCTAACCTCACCAGGTAGTGAATTTCAAAGTCTACAGAATTCCAAAGGCTACAGTGGAGAAGGATTTCTCCCTCATTCCCACAAGTCGTGCCTGAGATAGAGGAAGGGGCGAAAAGAGGGCCTCCCCAGAGGAACAAAGGGATTTGTGCAGGTTGGTGGTAGGAGATGCGGTCACGAAGGTAGGCGGGTTCCAAACCATTCAGGGCTTTATAGGTAATAACCTGCACCTTGAATTGGGACTGGAAGATGAACAGCAGCCAATGGAGATCCTTAAACAGGGGGGTTGACCGCTTCCTGTAATTCGCCCCAGTTATTAATCTGGCTGCCGAATGTTGGACCAATTGAAGTCATATTATCGTAATTTTACACACTAATCAGCTTGAAAAATGATAGACACAAAGCATAACCATATTCAGAGCATAACTATGTAATACGATTTTTGTTTCTGAGTTATAAATGTCATTGGTTCTATCACAAAACATGGGAAAAGTTTATGAAACTGTAAAAACCTTTTTTGCAAGACATCTTGCAGCCCATTTTGCCATAGTTTTTAAATGAATATCTTATTGAGTTTCAGCCATAGTCACAAAAATGAAGTTTCTGGAATCTAACAACTACTTTCAAAGTAGGTACGGCACAATTAAACAGGAAATGATACTTTCAAACCAGATTTTTTTTTTCAAATTTTGGTATAGTGTATTCAGCAAAGAACAAGCTGGTTCTGTCATTTGGAAGCACTGATCTTCCCTTGCTGCTCAAATTAATAATGCTATCTCAAGAATAACCCCCTGAAAAATTATGCAAGACACAAAGATGATATAGAGTTCATCTATTCACAGACCAAGTATCTACATGAGAAGTGCCCTCATAAAGCCTTAATCCCAAAGGCCAGCAGAAGCAAGGGTTTAATTGTCTTTTTTTTCATGACAAATCCACTACAGCTAGTCCCCGAGTTACAAACATCCGACTTACATACAACTCCTAGTTACAAACACGAGAGATGAGAGGACAGGAAGGTGGAGGAAATCTATTTCTCAGAAGGGAAATTCACTCCTGGAAGAGTTGTCATAGCAAAAAGGGGTCTCCACTGAAGTTTTATCACCAATCCTTGTTTTCACAACAACCCAACACTTTCAAAATACAATTGTCACAAGGACAGAAAATGAAGTGAAATCTTCTGAACACGGGCACAGACAGCAAAACAAACTTTACAGGAATGTTAACCCTTCCCTACACTATCCAAAACTGGAAAAATGGCTGTAAATCAGAACAAGTACTGAAAATATGTATCTATCCAACTTACATACAAGCTCAACTTAAGAATAAACCTACAGAACCCATCTTATTCATAATGCGAAGACTGCCTGTACTAAGCACGCTACCTATTTTTGTTCCTCACCTTCCAGTTAATATCTATACTGCAAATACATTATATCAAAGTGCAGAAATTGCTACTTTTTCTCAAGCATCACACCTCAGAGTAAAAAAAAAAGGCAGAACATTCCTCACCAGTTCCACACCAATGACTCCAGCACCAATGACAACCATTTTTTCAGGGACTTGTTTCAGCGACAGTGCACCAGTAGATGATACTATTGTTTCTTCATCAATCTAAACAAATGTAAAGAAGGAGAGGGTATAAATTTCCACCTTTACATGAAAGATGTTTAAATACAAAGATATTCAGCATATGAAATACCACCAGCTTTCCCTCATCTAAAAGTTGCCATACAATGATTACTTTTTGAACAGTAGTACTTCATACCGTAATTCCTGGAAAAGGTGTCACTTCTGAGCCTGTAGCTATAAGGATGTTCTTTGTATTAATAACTTGAGTGCTGCCATCTTCTTTCGTTGCTGTGACCTGGTTTTTGCCTGTTATTTTTCCAAATCCAGGCACATGTGTTACCTTCCAAAAGCAAGCAAACAAACAAAATGGAGCACGTGTTACCTTCCAAAAGCAAGCAAACAAACAAAATGGAACATTTTTTTAAATCATTGAAGTAAGAAGCATTTTGGTCTGTTACCAGTCATACCAACAACTGCAACAACACTATTCCTGATATTTTAAAAGGAAAATCTGAATTGTGATATCCAAAACAGATGTAACAGCGACTTCCACAGAATAGTAGCATTGATGTCTCACCTTGAGGCAAATGCTAGATCAGAGATAGGGAATATGTGGCTCTCCAGATGCTGGGCTGCAAGTTCTATGATTCTTCATTGGCTCTGTTAGCAAAACTACACATTCCCTACAGATGCATTAGAGAATGTTTTTGTTTCAACAATTATCTCTGTCTTTCCATGCACACCATTCACAATACTCTTCTACCAGCAGTCTAGTCTGGTCACAGTTCCCAAGACATTAAAGCGAATAGTCAACCAATCACGATTAGACATATGAATCTATATAAATAAAAATGTAATGTTTGTTTGTGGGATTAACATAACTTAAAAACCACTGAATGAATTGACACCAAATTTGGACATAATACACCTATCAGGCCAACGAGTTACAATCACTCACAAAACACTGAAAAACACAGAAGATACTTAAAAACAAAAAACAAAAAATATATTGCAATGTATGCGTAAAGCCACACAGGCAAGCACACATATACACGAATATATACACACACAAAACACATATACACAAACTGGGCCACAGCAACATGTGGCAGGGGACAGTTTGTAAAGAATACAAATATATGTTCTTGCCATACATCAAGGGAACCACTGACCACATAGGAAAGCTGATGAGGAAACACAACATACAAACTATCTACAGACCCACCAAGAAAATCCAACAAAAGCTACGTTCAGCAAAGGACAAGAGGGATCCTCTCACTTCTGCAGGAGTCTACCATATACTATGCAGCGGTGGACAAGTCTACATAGGGACCATCAAATGCAGCAGCGCCCAAACACGAATCAAGGAAAAAGCTGCTTTTATTGATAAGCCAAAACATACCTTGTTCTGTTTAAACAAATGAGCAATTCCACCGGTTAAGGCTTTCACTGCACCACTCTTCTGTTCCATCATCTTCTCTAAATTCAGCCGAAGTCCTGTAACTGTTTAATACAGGTGTTACTTTTATGATATGTTGTAGCCTTGAGTAGTTAACACGTTTAAGTACAGTTCATAGATCAATTGAAGAATGAAGAAGGAGGCAAATAATTCCCAATTCTGGAATTAGTCACTCTGAAGGTTGCCCTTCATTGGCCACTCCAAGACTGTGCTTGCCGGAAAAGCTCCGACATTTAGATCAGCTATCCCAAGTGTCTTCCTGCAGGCCGTCCCAGACAATTTTAATGACTACTTTTAAACTTGCATCTTATGTTTAATATCTGTTTTGGGTATTTTAATATGCATTGTGTGGAAATACATTTTAATATGTGTATTTTAAGGAATATTTTAGGTGAATGTCTGTTTTAACAATGTAGTAACCCGCCTTGAGCTGTGAGGAGAAGGGGGCAAGAAAGAAACATCATCATCATCACTATTGACCACTGTTTATAATTTTATTAATATTGTTTAATAAAGTCAATATTTCTGGGCGTTAATCTATTTTTCCTACTTTACTATCTTCTTTTAAATATTCCCACCCTTTCTATGTAACTCTATAAAACTTGAATAAAAATCATTTTAAAAAATAAAGTCAATATATGTTTAGAATCACCACATTCAACAGGATTTACTTTCTGGTGAAGGAGCTTAAGACAGTAGCCTAAATTACTTACAAAGAGTAGATGACATGCATTTAGGGCTTTACATTAGCTTCTAAGACAAACCAGTATAACCCAACATATCTCCTAAAATGCCTGATCTCATACACATTTAGCAGAATCTGGGATGTGTGAAATGTAAACAGATGCACTGCATACTTACTTTCAATTCCTCTGCTCGCGAAGTCTTTTCCATGAGCCAAATGGTAAAAATGTGAATTGTTTAGTAAGGCCTGTGACATAAAATCAAAATAAAGCAAAACAAACATGCTGCGTTAAAATAGGAATGTATCTGTCATCACTACTATTTCTTCTAAGATTATAATGGAGTGATTCCACATTGCAAGTTCAGTATACTGCTCTAGAACATTCAAATTTCTGAAATAGAAAGCTTCAGGAGGCAACCTGTTCGTAATGGCAGAGTTGGTGCAGGACTTCAAAGGAAAATATTACCAAAACCAATTTCAAAGGAAATTCTTCTTTTTAATAACTGTATAACTGAAATTCAGGAATAACTTCAAAAATCTACACTCTTGCAACACTCTTGCCCAGACTTTAGCATTCAATGTAAGTCAAAATATTAGAAAGAAACTTATTTTATGTTTTCTTTTAAATTTCCTTTGTTTTCATGAAATAGATCTTATGTTCATTTAATAGTTCTTAATTGTGCACTTAGATTTTTCTTTTACCATCTACACAGGTCTAGTTGAAACAGGGGTAAGAGTGAGAAGGAGAGAAACAAAGGAGAGGTAGTAAATTGGAAATCCATTTTTTTACCTGAACAAAGTAAACCATAGTCAAGATTCATGTATAAGAAACTATTCCTGGGCAGTTCATAGTTGCAGAAAAATAGCTGTTTCAAACTGGTTTCATCTTTTCGAAACATCCTGTATATAGGCAGTTTGATGATCTATATAACCCCACTCCAAATAAAAAGTTATATTTTATATGGAATATGGTGAATCCACACAACTCTGTAGAGTAGGTCAGTACCAAAGTTATTATATAATATTTCCGAATAAGGAATGTGGCTCTTGGTGTCTCAATCTAAATCTTAGTGTGAAACAATAATAACACTACACATTCTGAGAGGACAATTTGTAACTTCTCGATGTTCTCATTATGATTTCATCAAATCAACAAAAATCCATTAAGCTCCAGTAACACTTTCATACAAAAAGTGAAATAGTTAGGTGATTCAAAGAACACTAAACTCCTTTGACCTACCTTAGAAGGTATACACCCAACATTCAAACAGGTTCCACCTAATGTTTCATTCTTCTCCACACAGACTGTCTAAGATTTAAATGAAAGGAACATTTTTGGTTAAAGTGCCTGCTTCCTAGATCAAATGCAGTATAAAAATATTCCTATGCTTTTATTGCAGAAAATTCATTATATGGTTTGTAGGATAACAATTCAGTCTGAATTCAAGATGCTCATAATGACATTCAAAGCCTTAACTGCCTTGGCACCTTGATACCCGAGGGAGGATTTCCCTTGCTATATACTTGCCCAAATACAGAGGTCTGCAGGAGGAGCTCTCCTCTGTTTTCCACCAGCAGACACAATATAACCTTAAGGGACACAGGAGAGGGCCTTCTCATGTATTGAATCCTAATTATGGTGTGCCCTGTCTTTGGAGCTCCAATTGATGCCAACTTTGGCATCCTTCTAGTGTCAAAACATGACTTTTTATTAATATTCTTTGAACACTATTTATTTTTAAATGCACATGTACTTAATTTGAAATTGTTTTAGCCATTTAAGCTATTTTTAATTGTTTTATAATCTGATATGTTATATTCATTATTTTGTTGTATGATGCAACATTGAGTCCCCTTCGGGGTTGAGAAGAGCAGGGTATAAATACAGTAAATAATATAATAATAATATAATAATAATAATAATAATAATAATAATTTAACTTGCTATACCCAGTAGCATTTTTCAAGCTACCCAAGTTTCAATTTCCAACTTCATAGCTGCCAAGAATTTAACAGTCATAAACAGCACTTCCAGATGTGATGCCAGAAATTAGGAATCTGGTCAATATATTCTGGCACACAACTGTTTTAGTTCCTGGGAACTGGCTCAGGTTTAAATACATTCATCATTTGGCCAGAATTCCCTCATATAAACAATTGCCTAAAGCAGGGGGCCAGAAACTTTTTAAACAGAGGTCCAGGACATAGTCCCTCAAATTGTTGGAGGGCCGGATTATAATTTGAAAAAAAGCACGAAATAATTCCTATGCATACTGAACATATCTTATTTGTAGTGCAAGAAACACTTTAAAACAATACAATAATTAAAATGAAGAACAATTTTAACAAATATAAACATTAGTATTTCAATGGGATGCGTGGGCCTGGTTTTGGCTATTGTTGTTGTGTGCTTTCAAGTTGTTTCAGACGTCGGCTGACCGAGCAAGGGCCGGGTAAATGACCTTAGTTTGAGGACCCCTGGCCTAAAGCATCTAGATCAGGCATAGGCAAACTTCAGCCTTCCAGGTGTTTTGGACTTCAACTCCCGGAAAACCGAGCCAGCTAATGGCTGTTAGGAATTGTGGGAGTTGAAGTCCAAAACACCTGGAGGGCCAAAGTTTGCCCATGCATGATTGAGGTTCTTCTTGCAAGATGTTAATGATATAACTTTTACTGAATACCTGTACAGCAAGAGCTCCATAGCTTCTGTATTACATATTGGCATATGATCCTATTTTCCTGAAATCATGAGTTCAGGGCCATAGAGATCTTAGATGAAGCTCCAGTACTGGAGGGGAGACCTGATTGTGAAACCCTTCCTGGTCCATCCCAGCCACTCTGCAAAATTTAAAGCACTATGCACTTCTAAGAGTAGAACCAAGACATATTCTCGGATTGCCACTGTGGACAGGAGTCAGTCCAAACTTGGTGGCTAATCAATTTATAAATCAGAGCTGTTTACATCATTGCTTAAAACTATTAATGTCAAAGGTTTTTTTCTCCAATGTGTCCAGGACTGGCACCATGCTTATGCTCGCTGGTTATACCTGTTTCTTGCTTTTTTGGAAGCATGTCACAGACTGGTAATCAATGGCCCACAGATCACTGAAAGACCACGGATGACCATTTTGAATATCACTGGACTAGATTAATTCCTTTCCTTTCCTCATAGAGGGAAGACTTTTTTCAGGCAGGTGCAAGGCAGCGAAATCTAGATCCATCATTACTTCTGCTCTGCCAGCAGGATCTCAGCAGGGTATGGGAGAGATTGAAGAATCTGATCTTGAAATGCCTCACTATTAAAGTATTTTGCTAGTTATGATTACTACTGAAATGATAGATTTAGGGATACATTATTGGGGAATGGTGGTAATAATAATAATAATAATAATAATAATAATAATAATAATTTATTTGTAGACCGTCCTAACATCCTGCGAGGACTCAGGGAGGTTTCCAACATGTATGGCAAACATTCAATGCCAAAAGGGAAAAAACAATGGAAACAAATTACATCAGAACAAACCATATTAAACAATATAAAAGCAACCTAACTCTAAACTTAATAACAAAATTCTTCTTTCAATATGAACTTTTAGCAATCCGTATTCTCTACACACTGTTTATCTAGTATATTCAGCCTCCTTTTCTTTGTACATATGAAATATGTGCATTGCCTTTATGTATACAAAAGCACTTCTCTTCAGCAAGCAATTCTGTCTTTATAACAGCTTCTTTAGATTCCAAAGAAGTTTCCAAGATCTCAATGGTCAACCTAAAAATAGTCATTTGACTTTTGACATGATTAACTCTTCACAAGATTATTTGGATTACTGCAACGTTTTTTTATTTATCTCACCATGTCTGCTCACCTTAAAGCCAAGCTGAGCAGATTTGATAGCCGCAACATAACCCCCTGGACCAGAACCAATGACTGTTATATCAGCATCAACTAACAGGAAAGAAAAGAAAAACAAAATCTTTAAAGCAGGGTTGGAGAAAATGTAAGATTTCAGCTAAATATGACCTTAATTAGCAAATGTGTATAAAGACGGCCAAGAAGTGCTTCGCAATTACTTGTTACAAATATCAATATTAATAATCACAATGAATATTATAAATATAAGCAACTTATTCATCACATCTTTCAAAACAAATCTATTTCTTCTACATATGTATCTGTGAGTTAATTCTTATCTATTATTGAAAGACAAAGCTGTGTTTGTCTGGGTCAATATGCAAAAGGATCTTGTAGCACTTTCAAGATTAACTCAAACAAAAATTTGAAGCACAGGCTTTTGTAGACTTATGTCTACTTCTGATGCATCTGATGTAGATTTAAATCTATGAAAGCTTACGCTACAGATTTTTCTCTCTGTTAGTCTCAAACATGTTTCAAGGGCCATTTCCACATCAATTATTTTTAACATGTTAGCAGCCATGCAAATGTTGCCACTGCTGAGGTAGATTTCTACTTTCTTGCAGGCTATTTCTTTCTGATATCATTCAGTTCTATAATTCTGGACTGCAACTTCATATTAAGTCAGCAACTTCGTATTAAAGAAGTTTTGATTATCTGAACAATACCCCCAAGTAAATTGACAGTTCCACCCAAATATTATTAAAGCTCTGCTCAATGAGACCCAATCCAATGTTGTCTAAATATTGAATGGCAAGACTCCCCTTTCTACAGGACTACAGCAATGGTTAGACAAAACCATTCCACTTTCAATAAAAACTTTGGCTATATCTAAGAAAAACAGAAGAGCTATGCTTTTGAATATTATCACACTAAAATGGCTTACTGAAACTTTGAGTAGATTCTGCTTCTACTTTTAACAAAGCAGAGATAAATATTTAACAGTATATTTTTGTGTAAAACAAACACCTTGGCAACTTGGGAATATATTGAAAAATTGATTTCTGCATATCACATTGGCAAGATACTGGGGATGCAATGCTCTGTACTGAAGCAGAACATTCTATAGGCTATCTGCAATCATCACCATCACTCTAAAACCAACACAACACATTGAGAAATCATATTCAGACTTAGAACAATGATATAATACTATACAGTATAGGTTTTAATATTCCCTATGGTGTATCTTAATCATACACCACACAAAACACCATATAAGTAAGAATACTGATGGTGTGACCTGAGAATTTATACAACTATGTTTTCAAAGAATAAATAGCTATTTAATCTGTACCTTGGTCAGCATAGGTTCTTAAAGGCACCACAGAAATGCCTTGTAAGCCATGATGGATCCGGTTAAAATGGCCTCTCTAAAGTGAAAAGAAAGACAAATAAAACATTTAAAAATCTTCCAATAAAAATGTCATATAATACATTTACACTTCAAGGCAGAGAGTTCCATTGCTGAACAGATCTTACAGTCAGGAAGTTATTCCTAATGGGTTTTTATCTTGGTTTTAATGTTCACACGGTTTTAACTATATTTGCTATTTCAGATATGTTTTAATGGGTTGTTTTAACTTTGTATTGTATGTTTTTTATTTTGTTGTAACCGCCTTTGTTCTGTGCTCAGAGAAAGGCGGGATATAAATTTCTCAAATAAAGAAATAATGTTCAGGAGGAATTTCCTTTTCTGTATTTGAACCCATTGCTCTGAATCCTAGTTTTAAGGGCAACAGAAAACAACTATGCTCCCTCTTCCTTATGGCATCCTTTCAAATATCTGTCCAGAGAAGGGTGACTGAACTGATCAAAGTCTGTAGACCATGCTTATGAGAAGCATCTCAAAGAGCTGGGTATGTTTAACCTGCAGAAGAGAAGGTTGAGGAGACATGATAGCAATGTTTAAATATGTGAAATCCTGTCATAAGGAAGAGGGAGAAGGCTTGTTTTCTGCTTCTCGTAATCTAGCAGCCCTTCCAGCCAGGCCCTATATCCCAGGATCTGATCCTAGGTTCTCTGGATTATATGAGTCTGCACTGCCAGATAATCTGAGATAAACAGAAAACCTGGGATCAGATCCTAGGATATAGGGCCTGTCTGGAAGAGCCCCACGATGCGGAGCAGTGGGTTCAAATGACAGGAAAGGAGATTCCACCTGAACACTAGGAAGAACTTCCTGAACATATAAGCTGCTTAACAGCTCATATGCTAAAAGTTTGGTGGAAGCTCCTTGTTTGCATACTTTTAAGCAGAGGATGAATGACAATCTGTCAGGGGTACTTTGATTGTGCTTTTCTTGCATGGCAGGGGGCTGAACTAGATGACCCATGTGGTCTCTTCCAACTCTATGATTCCCGATGTGCGACAGGAAGTTGCTGCCAATTGTGAGAGAATTAAGATTGAACATTGTGAAAGGTGCACACCGTATTGCTATCAGCCACCTCTGAGTAGACTTAAATCAAGGAAAAGTTTCATGAGAACCACCATTACTCTTTAAGGTTTCCCCAGCAACAGCAAGAATATCAGTGTGGGCTGAAAAATCAGGCAATTTCAACTGGATGACCCCCTATGAGAGTCTTCCCCTGGGGACAAACGTAAACGCTCTAAAACATGCAACATATGGGGACAACACAAGGCCTCTCATGAAAAGCTTTCATTGTATTAATGTATTGTCGAAGGCTTTCATAGCTGGAATCACTCAGTTCTTGTGGGTTTTTTCGGGCTATATGGCCATGTTCTAGAGGCATTTCTCCTGACATTTCGCCTGCATCTATGGCAAGCATCCTCAGAGGTGAGGTCTGCTGGAACAGGGAAAAAAGGGGTTTGTATATCTGTGGAATGACCAGGGTGAGACAAAGGGCTTTTGTAAGTTGGGCTAGGTGTGAATCTTTCAACTGACCACCTTGATTAGCATACAATGGGCTGACTGTGCCTGGAGCAAACTCTTCTTGAAAGGTGATTAGATGTCCCTGCCTGTTTCCTCTCTGCTGTTTTTGCTGTTGCAATTTTAGAATTTTTTAATACTGGTAGCCAGATCTTGTTCATTTTCATGGTTTCCTCCTTTCTGTTGAAATTGTCCACATGTTTGTGTATTTCAATGGCTTCTCTGTGTAGTCTGACATGGTGGTTGTTCGAGTGGTCCAGCATTTTTGTGTTCTCAAATAAAATGCTGTGTCCAGGTTGGTTCATCAGGTGCTCTGCTATGGCTGATTTCCCCGGTCATTTCACAGATATATAAACCCATGTTCCTATTTCCAACAGACCTCACTACCTCTGAGGATGCTTGCCATAGATGCAGGCGAAACGTCAGAAGAAATGCCTCTAGAACATGGCCCTATAGCCCGAAAAAACCCACAAGAACTTAATAGTAATACTTGCCATAGATGCAGGCGAAACGTCAGAAGAGAATGCTTCTAGAACATAGCCATATAGCCTGAAAAACCTACAACAACCCAGCTTTCATTGTTTTGTTTTGTCTTTCCCAATGGCTTATTGCATATTCCACACAGACTCAGAAGTTTCTCATTGATGTTCATGTGACACACTGCAGCCAAGACAGTCTGGAAAGCCCTGTTCTAGTCCGTCGTCTGTTTGGTGCCCTTCCCCCTGATGGAGTCACTCAGGAGTCACAGCTCCCCCTCCCAGGGACTCTTCAGCGGCCTCCAGCCCGCTCCCCTTCAGGAGAAAAGACGGGGTGCGCTTTCCCTGGCAGCCCTCCAGTCTCTGGCTGCAGGCAGGGCTCCCCTTCAGGAAAGGGCGGCGCTGGGGCCAGAGAGGGCCCAAGGACGGCGCGGGGCATGACGGGATGCGGCCCCCTCACTCTCTCTCGCGCGCGCTCTTCTCTATTTATCCCGTCAGGCCTACGCTTCGGGCCTACGCTGTTCCCCTTTCCCACGGCTCCTGGCCCTACCTTGACGAGAGCGCAACAGACTCGGCTCCACGTCTGCATGGCGGCTGCCCTCACGGTTCCCTCTGAGGCACAGCTGCAGCGGCAACGCCAAGGACGGAGAAGGCTCGCGCAGGCGCACAACGGGAGAGGAGGCCGGGTTGGCCCTCAAGGTCCTCCTCAGCGGAAGCAGCCGCCAGGAAGGGGCGCGCGCCACCAAGCGGAAGAGGCCGGCCACTGCAGCTGGTGACGTATATTGGCTCCTCCCCCTTGGCTCCTCCCCCTTGACTCCTCAGGAGGGACATTTGGGCCCCGCCTCTCTTTCCTTGAGTGGTCCCCAGAGCAGGCATCTCTCCCAGGCTGGATCTGCACTGCCAAACATTAGAAAATGTAGATCATTTCTGCTACCTTGGCAGCCACCTCTCCACAAAAGTCAACATTGACACTGAAATACAACACTGCCTGAGCTCTGCAAGTGCAGCTTTTTTTCCAAATGAAGCATAATAATAATAATAATTGTTGTTCATTCGTTCAGTCGTCTCCGACTCTTCGTGACCTCATGGACCATCCCATGCCAGAGCTCCCTGTCGGCCGTCACCACCCCCAGCTCCTTCAAGGTCAGTCCAGTCACTTCAAGGATGCCATCCATCCATCTTGCCCTTGGTCGGCCCCTCTTCCTTTTACCTTCCACTTTCCCCAGCATAATTGTCTTCTCTACGCTTTGCTGTCTCCTCATGATGTGGCCAAAGTACTTCAACTTTGTCTCTAGTATCCTTCCCTCCAATGAGCAGTCGGGCTTTATTTCCTGGAGGATGGACTGGTTGGATCTTCTCGCAGTCCAAGGCACTCTCAGAACTTTCCTCCAACACCACAGCTCAAAAGCATCGATCTTCCTTCGCTCAGCCTTCCCTAAGGTCCAGCTCTCACATCCGTAGGTTACTACAGGGAATACCATGGCTTTGACTATTTATTTATTTATTTATTTATTTCTTGCATTTATTGACCGCCACTCTCAGCCCTAGGGCGACTCGTGGCGGTGAACAACAACATGGAAAGACAGTGTACAGTAAATCACAACAATACATAACAAACTACTACTACATAACATATACTTATGCTAAAAATCCGCTTCGTCAAATCCTGGGGTCATAGTCAATTTCATAGTCATAGTCCATTCCAATGTCGTTCCAATGATACACTCAGTTGAAGGCCTGCTCGAAGAGCCATGTCTTCAGGCTCCTGCGAAAGGCCATCAAGGAGGGCGCCTGTCTCACTTCAGCAGGGAGGGTGTTCCACAGCCGGGGGGCCACCACCGAGAAGGCCCGCTCTCTCGTCCCCGCCAGGCGTGCCTGTGAGGCAGGCGGGACCGAGAGAAGGGCCTCCCCGGATGATCTCAAGGTCCTCGTGGGCTCGTAGGCCGAGATGCGGTCTGCAAGGTATTTTGGGCCGGAACCGTTTAGGGCTTTGTAGGACAACACCAGCACCTTAAATTGGGCCCGGTAGCAAATCGGCAGCCAGTGGAGCTGGGACAGCAGGGGCGTTGTATGCTCTCTGCGCCCTGCTCCTGTTAACAACATGGCTGCCGCGCGTTGGACTAGCTGAAGCTTCCGGGCCGTCTTCAAGGGCAGCCCCACGTAGAGAGCGTTGCAGTAGTCGAGGCGGGATGTGACCAAAGCGTGTACCACCGTGGCCAAGTCAGACTTCCCAAGGTACGGGCGCAGCTGGCGCACAAGCCTAAGCTGTGCAAATGCTCCCCTGGTCACCGCTGAAACCTGGGGATCCAGGCTCAGCGATGAGTCCAGGTCACACCCAAGCTGCGAACCTGCGCCTTCAAGGGGAGTGCGACCCCGTCCAGCACAGGCTGTAACCCTATACCCTGTTCGGCCTTACGACTGACCAGGAGTACCTCTGTCTTGTCTGGATTTAGTTTCAGTTTGTTCGCCCTCATCCAGACCATTACAGCGGCCAGGCACCGGTTCAGGACTTCGACGGCCTCCTTAGTAGCAGGTGGGAAGGAGTGACAGAGTTGGACGTCATCTGCGTACAGGTGACACCGCACCCCGAAACTCCGGATGATCTCACCCAGCGGCTTCATGTAGATGTTAAACAGCAAGGGGGACAAGATGGAGCCCTGAGGAACACCACAGGTCAACGGCCGTGGCGTTGAACAGGAGTCCCCCAATAACACCTTCTGGGTACGACCCTCCAGAAATGACCGGAGCCACTGCAGAACAGTGCCCCCAAGACCCATCTCTGCAAGGCGCCCCAGAAGAATACCGTGGTCGACGGTATCGAAGGCCGCTGAGAGGTCCAGGAGCACCAACAGGGACACACTCCCCCTGTCTAGCTCCCGGCGCAGATCATCCACTAAGGCGACCAAGCCCGTCTCGTTCCATGTCTCGGTCTGAAACCAGACTGTGCCGGATCCAGAATATCCGTGTCTCTCAAGAATACCTGGAGTTGTGAGGCCACCACGCTTTCCATGACTTTGCCCAAGAAGGGAAGATTGGAAACAGGCCGAAAGTTGTCCAAATTAGTGGGGTCCAGTGATGGTTTCTTCAACAGCGGCTTTATAACAGCCTGTTTAAGGCTCGCTGGAATCTTGCCTTCCCGAAGGGAGGCATTAACCACCACCGTTACCCACTCGGCCAATCCCCCTCTGGCCTCCTTCAGAAGCCAGGATGGGCAGGGGTCTAGGATGGACGTGGTGGGTCTCATTCCTCCAAGTATCTTGTCCACATCCTCGGGTTTCACAAACTGAAAAGAATCCAACGAAAACGGACAAGCAGGTGCTTGTGACACATCCACAGAGACTGCATTTAATGTGGCGTCCAGCCCAGAGCGGATCAAAGCGACTTTGTCTGCAAAGAACCGAGCAAATGCTTCACAGCGCGTTGCCGAGTTGTCAGGGCTCCCACCTGAAGTAGGGGGAGTTAAAAGACCTCTGACAATCCGGAACAACTCCACCGGACGGTTTTTTGCAGACGCAATAGTGGCCGCAAAGAAAGTTTTCTTAGCGGCTTTTATTGCCGCGGCATATGCCCTTAAAAAGGACACAAACCGTGTTCGGTTTGGCTCGCTTGGGTCCGAGCGCCACACGCTCTCTAGAACCCTCTTTCTTCGCTTCATCGCTGCCAGCTCCTCAGTGAACCAAGGGGCTGGTTTAGCTCGGTTACTTGAGAGGGGACGTTCCGGAGCGATCCTGTCAATTGCCCTGGTCATCTCCCCATTCCAGAGAGCGACCAAGGCCTCGACATGGTCACCTACCGAGGTGGCGGGAAACTCCCCAAGAGCCGTCAAGAATCCATTCGGATCCATTAGCCTCCTGGGGCGGACCATCTTAATGGGTCCTCCACCCTTGCGGAGGTTAGGGGGCGCAGTGAGCCTAAATCTGATCAGGAAGTGGTCAGTCCATGGCAACGGAGAGATAGACAGCTCCTCCACACCGCCACCCTGCTCCCATCCCTGGCAGAAAACCAAGTCCAATGTGTGTCCAGCAGTGGGTGGGGCCAGTTATTCGTTGGGACAGCCCCATGGTTGCCATGGCGGACATGAAGTCCTGAGCCGCACCTGTGAGGGTTGCCTCGGCATGGATGTTGAAGTCCCCCAGCACAAGAAGCCGTTGAGACTCCAACGCCAGGCTCGAGACCACCCCCGCTAGCTCAGGTAGGGAGACTGTAGTGCAGTGAGGTGGACGGTACACTAACAGAATCCCTATTCTGTCCCGGTCACCCACCCTCAGGTGGACGCATTCAAAATTTGTGGACTGCGGGATGGGACTCCTGGTCAGATGGATGGAATCTCTATAGACCACTTCGACCCCGCCTCCCCGTCCTCCGGCTCTTGGTTGGTGTTGCACGGAGAAACCTGGAGGACAAAGCTGAGAGAGGTTTACGCCCCCCGCTTCATCCAGCCAGGTCTCCGTGATGCACGCCAGATCTGCCCGCTCCTCCAGGATTAAATCCTGGATCCAGGTCGTTTTTCCGTTGACAGATCTGGCGTTCAACAACACCACCTTCAAGCCAGAGGGCCCACTCACCTGGTTACACCAATTTACCTTAGGAGACCGGTTGGGAATTGTTAATTTGGATAAGCGGTCCGAATTTGGCCGAATTCGAGGTCTCCTTCTCCCGCATCTCCTCCTTCCCACCACGACCTCTATGGGGGCCCCTCGGCTAGTGGAACACCTCCCCCCCTCCATGCCGCAGTCCAGAGCCATGATCTTTGTTGCCAGTCTGATGTCTCTGCTCTTTACTATTTTATCGAGACTGGAGATTGCTCTCCTCCCAAGAAGTAAGCGTCTTCTGATTTCCTGGCCACAGTAATCTGCAGTAATCTTTGCACCTAGAAATACAAAGTCTGTCACGGCCTCCACATTTTTTCCCTCTATTTTCCAGTTGTCAATCATTCTTGTTGCCATAATCTTGGTTTTTTTACGTTTAGCTGCAACCCGGCTTTTGCGCTTTCTTCTTTCACCTTGATTAGAAGACTCCTCAGCTCCTCCTTGCTTTCGGCCATCAGAGTGGTGTCATCTGCATATCTGGGGTTGTTAATGTTTCTTCCAGCAATTTTCACCCCAGCTTTGCATTCATCAAGCCCCGCACATTGCATGATGTGTTCTGCAAACAAGTTAAAAAGGTTGGGTGAGAGGATGCAGCCTTGCCGTACGCCTTTCCCAATCTTGAACCAGTCTGTTGTTCCGTGGTCAGTTCGGACTGTTGCTACTTGGTCCTTGTACAGATTCCTCAGGAGAGAGACAAGGTGGCTTGGTATGCCCATCCCACCAAGAACTTGCCACAATTTATTATGATCCACACAGTCAAAGGCTTTAGAATAGTCAATGAAGCAGAAGTAGATGTTTTTCTGGAACTCCCTGCCTTTCTCCATTATCCAGCGGATATTGGCAATCTGGTCAATAATAATAATAAACCTTTATTTGTACCCCGCTACCATCTCCCGAAGGACTCAGTGCGGCTTACAAGAAGCCGAGCCCAAATACAATAGTAAAAACAACAACAAACAACAAAAACAACTCAAAAACAAAGCAATAACATTAACCACACACAATGACGCAATTAAAATCAGTGGCAGGGCCAAATGTAATAATTAAAATTAAAAGTGCTGGGCATGACCAGGTGGAGTGTTTGGAGGGGGATGGGCATGCAGATATCCTAGATCTCTGATAAAGTGTGTTGGGACATAATGCTAGGAGTTTCCTTATTCTGGGAAGGCACACTGGAACAACCATGTTTTCAAGCTTCTCCTAAAGATTTCTAGCGATGGGGCCTGCCTGATGTCCTTAGGGAGAGAGTTCCAGAGTCGAGGGGCCACCACCGAGAAAGCCCTATCCCTCGTCCCCACCAATCACGCTTGCGATGCAGGTGGGATCATGAGCAGGGCCTCTCCGGATGAACGAAGAACATTTTGGTGTTAATTTCTCTTTTGTCACAAGTTTATGGTTATTATTTTTGTTTTATTCTGTTTGTTTTAAAATATTTGTATTTGAGTTCAGGCATTGAGTGTTTGCCTTCTTTGTGTGTAAACCGACCTGAGTCCCCTTGGGGAGGGAGGTCGGTCTATAAATACAGTTGTTGTTGTTGATGATATCGATATCTTGGGTTATATGGCTGTGTGGAAGGGCCCATCTTCAACAACAGTTAATTTTCTGAGGTTTTTTTTCCGCTTTGAATTAAATTGTGCTTTTTTAAAAATTGTTTTATTTGTTTTTTTCCACTCCCACCCTCTCCTCCTTGTACATGCAATTTATACATCAAACTACAGAAGTTACATTTGAAATATCAGTCTCAGTCTTAATTTTTCTACTCCACATCTTAACACATTCTCTAAATAATTCCTAACTGGTTCCCACATCATCTTAGTTATTGTAACCTTTTCAATTTTATCTATATTATTCCATTTGCAATTTGTTATTTCCACATTTAACATATTAACTATATAGTTATACCAATTAATCAGTGTCCATTTTGTTTTGTCTTTCCAACCCCTCACTAAAACAATTTGTGCACACGCGATTAATTTGTCAATCAATTTTTCCTTATGTATATTCTTCACTCCTGTTACCCGTGCATGTAGTACATTTCTATTAATTATTACTATTTGTAATTTTAACATTCTGTTGATTTCCCCTTCAAACATTTTCCAGTATTCTTGCACTTGATCACATTCCCATATGATTAAACACCCCTCTTTGTTCACAGCCATGCCAACACCTATCCTTGATCCCTGGTACAAAGCGTGAAAGTTGTGCAGGAGTTCTGTACCATTTTTGTAACATTTTCCTTCTTGCTTCCCTTAATACATTATACTTTCCTTTTGCTATATTACTTATTTCCCTTTGACTGTCTTCCCTCTCAATTTCCATGTCCAATCTCCATGTTTGGAAAATTTCCTCTATTATTTCTTCTTTTACTGTTATGATTTGGTCGTACAGATCTCCTGCCACTTTCTTCTCCCCTCTCAAACATTTCCTAATCAATGTATTGTCGAAGGCTTTCATGGCCGGGATCACTGTGTTGTTGTAGGTTTTTCCGGGCTATATGGCCATGTTCTGGAGGCAATTTTTCTCCTGACGTTTCGCCTGCATCTATGGCAAGCATCCTCAGAGGTAGTGAGGTCTGTTGGAAGTAGGAAAAATGGGTTTATATGTCTGTGGAATGACCAGGTGAGACAAAGGACTTTTGTCTGCTGTGGCTAAGTGTGAATGTTTCAACTGACCACCTTGAATAGAATTTGTCTGCTGGGGCTAGCTGTGAATGTTTCAGCTGATCACATTGATTTGCATTCAGTGGCCTGGAAGCGCCTGGGGGGAATCTCTTGTTGAGAGTGATTTCATGTGCCTGTTTGTTTCCCCTCTGTTGTTTTGCTGTTGTAATTTTTGAGTTTTTTAATACTGGTAGCCAGATTTTGTTCATTTTCATGGTTTCTTCCTTTCTGTTGAAATTGTCCACATGCTTGTGGATTTCAATGGCTTCTCTGTGTAGTCTGACATGGTGGTTGTGAGAGTGATCCAGCACTTCTGTGTTCTCAAATAATATGCTGTGTCCAGGTTGGTTCATCAGGTGCTCTGCTATGGCTGATTTCTCTGGTTGGAGTAGTTTGCAGTGCCTTTCATGTTCCTTGATGCGTGTCTGGGCGCTGCGTTTGGTGGTCCCTATGTAGACTTGTCCACAGCTGCATGGTACACGGTAGACTCCTGCAGAGGTGAGTGGATCCCTCTTGTCCTTTGCTGAACGTAGCATTTGTTGGATTTTCTTGGTGGGTCTGTAAGTGGTTTGTATGTTGTGTTTCCTCATCAGTTTCCCTATGCGGTCAGTGGTTCCCTTGATGTATGGCAAGAACACTTTTCTTTTTTTTCTTTTTTGCAGGCAAAACGTCAGGAGAAAAATTGCCTCCAGAACATGGCCATATAGCCCGGAAAAACATACAACAACCCATTTCCTAATCACCTTCTCAAATGGACTATCCTATTCTCTAATTTTTCCCCTCCATCTAAAAATTTCCTGTCTTATAGCCCAGCTTTGAATCCAATTCCCTGACCCTATCCAATTCTGAATTTCTTTTTGTTCTACGGGGTTTCCATCCTCTGTATATAGATCCTCTACTAACCTTTTCCCTCTACTTTCAATCAATCTCAATGTTCTGCCTATAATTTCATCATTATTATAATTCATTTGCCATATAGTTGCCATCTTATTCTCATTGCCTGGATTTAACTTCTTCTTTCTTATTTTCCACACTTTTACTGTTCCTTTAAAGGGTTCCTTAAGTTCTGTTTCCTCTCTCCTCTTCCATTCCCTAAATATTATTTCTTTTCCTTTAATATTATTTATTAACTTCCCAAGTTTGGAAGTTTATCATGATGCATTTCAAATCCAAAGATTGTTGGAAATACAGTATACAGAAAAAATGGGTAAATATGGAGAAGTTAATGAATTTAATTGTGCTGATAGGTCATGAAGAGAAAGGACTAGACAGCTAATAATATCAAGAAATATAAAGAAATTGACTAATACGGAAGGGCCAGTTGCTTGGGGCAACAGCAGAAAGATTCTAGAATTAAAACCATAGATCTGTTGGTGATACTGCTAAACAGCTGTTGCTTCTGAACCATTGCACTAGAGATGCATTGCCCTGTGCTCCTTATCTTCTTCCTGAGGTACTCTTTTTGTTATACAACAGCTGCGCCCATTCATTTCTTGCCACCTCCACTGTTGGTCATCTGCACAGATCCACAACAACGAGTCTATCAGAGGCATGACACTGAACATCATATCTCATGTATCTGGGCTGGGAAAATTGAGCTGAAGTATTCAAGAAACAGAGGACTGTCTTTAGATATCAAGGTTGGGAAGCCAGGCATGCAAGTCCCTCCCCATTGTAGGTGGTACCGGGATTCCAACTTGCTAGAGAATACAAATCACTGGTCAGGTCAGGTGGTAATAGATATGGGCCAAGATGAAGGAGGCCCTCATCCACCCCAGGACTTTAGTCATATCACAGTGCAATGCGTATCATCCTGGTGCTATTTACCCACTTGTGCTTACAACAACCTGACCATTGAAGTTTCTAGGCAAGATGTCCATCTTTTCCTCCTCTCACCACAGACACTTCCCATCCGGGAATGGCAACCAGTGCAGCTAGGCTGGTGTGCACGCCTGAAAAGTGTCACCTGGAACTACCGCTTCGAGAGTCCCGGGGGTAGTCCTGTAGACCATCTCATTCCCAGCAACCAGCACAATGAGTCACTCACACCCACTCTTTATCCCTATGCAAAATTGCACCAAGGATGTGCATCATATTATAACTACCATGTAACAGTGCGTTATCCACACCGTGGAGTCTACACTGCTTCACTCCATATTGAGAATGGGCCTCACCTCAGACGCAGTCTCAACGTGTATGTGCAGCCTGCTCTGCTCCATGTATTTAGCACTTCCTCCACACTGCTCAGTCTTACTCACAGGACTGTCAACCTTTCTTGGACTCTCCAACCCCTCAGTCCCAGAATAATGGCTTACTCGTTGATAGATGTGCAGGGACTGGACCAATGGTCTCCTCACTACAATTATAATCCTTTTGCTCTACAAAGTGATTTCTGTGCAGCTCCCAAATCATGGAATTCTGGGGGCAAAGTGATGGCCAGCGTCTATTTTCGTATTAGCGAGAAAATATCTGGACAGCTAAAGGGGGAAATCAGATTTTCTAATCGGACTGTGATTTTCAGAGCAAACAATGCAAACCCAACTTACCTTGTGCTCAACACACAACGAACAAAAGCAAGCACTTACATTTTCAGTCATGCTTTGGGACTATACTATTCTACCCAAGCAAGAAAGAATACCAGTGCCAGTGGTGGGAACTCTAGCTTTCACTATATTTTTTATCAGCAGCAGAGCCTCTCTTACCTACTCATCATCGAATTTATACAGCCTCAGTGGTACCGGTTCAGCATGCACTTATACCTGAACCGAAGGGAGACTTTGTTCAAGGCTTTAGGAGAAAAGGATACCGAAGTTCAGATTTTCAATGGACATTCTACTGATGAGAGTTTGGCCTATGTTTTATGGTTTATTCCTACACAACATCCGCAGCTGCAGTGTGAATGGGTCTTTGATTTGCAACTTTTTGATTCTAGAAAGGAGCACCTCCTTTGGAATCGCACATACACTTATGGAAATCATGTGAAAAATGCCACTTGCCTACTTTCTCACTCTGTTTCATTCTTCAAACCTTCCCTGTATGCAGGGTTTGTAGCAAAAGTGAACTGCAGAAAAAGTGGGCTTGTACATGCTGTTCTCAAAGCCACGGTCAACACTTACTCTTCAAAAATCAGGGAATTAAATGTGGCCTGTCAAAAAAGTTACTGTTATAACCTGATAGCTACCATCCATAAACCAAATCCGTTTGAGTCAGTCATAAAATACAGGAGGGTGTCAGCAGTTCGCTTGGAATCAATTGCAAAAGCAGACTGCAGGACAAGTTCAGTTATACATATATTCTGGAAAATCTACAGCCTTAAAAGTGCTTTGTCTATTCCTGACTGGACACATCCTCTCAAGCTACCTGATGAAATAACTACAGATAGCGTAATATTTTACATACCTGGGAATGTTTTGTATTATGGCTTTCATCATGTTAATGTGACCATGACAGTTTTTCTACCTGCATATAATATAAACATCACTGAGTCAGATTCAATATTACTCCAAATTCTAGAAAGTGATTTAGTAGCAAACATAATTGGAGGACCCTTCCGGATGGTTGGTGTTTCTGATCGTTGGGCTCTGGATGGATCTACCTCATCTGATCCTGATTCACACAATCCCCTGGAAGGAATGACATTTCACTGGTACTGCACAAAACGGGAATTGGATTATTCAACAATGAGGCTGAGTCCCAATGAAAAATGCCACCCAGCTCAGGTTGATTTAACCTGGACACCTTCCATTGATCCCATTCAAATGGTGGAGCCCAACACACTTCAGGAAAACGCAAAATACTATTTTATCTTAAGAATTCAGAAGCAGAATAGATCAGCGCACACACTCCAAACAGTTCGTGTACTCCATGGTTCTGTACCAGTGTTGAACATCACCTGTGTTGAAAATTGTGAGAAAACTATAAAAGTAACAGAAAGTTTTGTTCTTTCTGCAAGATGTCTAAATTGTGGAAAAAATCAACCACTTTACTTTTGGACCCTTCTTTCAGCAAATTCCAGGGAAATACAGTTTGACTGGGCTTCTAAAACTACAACTGGGAGGTCAAATCCATCCATACATATAAACCCATTAGCATTCAGATATATGACGGACAGATTCTATGCTCTTCGTCTCAAAGTAAATTCACAGGGAAAATCTTCAGGTGTTTACACATATTCATTCTATGTAAATTCTCCACCCCAGACTGGAAAGTGCAACATTTATCCAAAGGAAGGCACAGCCTTCCTTACAAAATTTGTCATCCACTGTACTGGCTTTGAGGACAAAGATGGGCCTCTTACATATAAAGTGATAGTACATTCTGATTTAACAAAAATGACTAATGTATCTTCTCTACAGAATAATACATTTGGAACAGTATTGTACACCGGTCATCACCACAAAACTCCTCCATCATTCCTGCCAAGTGGCACACCATCTAAAAAATATGCATTGGAAATAAGCGTCCAAGTATATGATGCCTATGGCGCATTTTCTCAAGTATCTCTTCAGGCAATTGTGCATGATCCAAGAAGAAGTAAGCCAGCTGATATTATTCTGAGTGTACTGCATAATTTAACTAGTGGGATAAATTCTTATCTTGAAATGAAAGATTACTTTAGTACTGGTTTCCTTATATATGTGGCATCTTCTGTATTAAATGATATTGAAGCTTCACCACCTACATATGACTCAAAAAATGATTTACGGGAAATCCTCCTTAATGCATCTTCCGGGATTCCGATGAATGAAGTAGGGAAGATAAACCAAATTGTATCAATTATTTGTCAAATAACACAGAATGTTAATAAAATTGGAAGGGGGTTACAACTGCTTGCGGTCAGAAAACTAAAAGAAGCCAGTGAAGCTCTAAAAAGACACAGGGACAAAGACTTAGGTTCCAAGGAAGCAGAAATAATTAGCAACGGTATATTTACTGGATTGTCTAATGTAGTGAGAGCATCTCTCTTGAACCATAGGAACGCCAATATAAATGCAGTTAAAGAAGCAATTCAGGTGACAGAAATAGTAGCAGACCTAGTCTTACAGGGAAAAGTTCCCGGGGAACGTAAAACTAGCATAGAAGCCAAAGATTGGTCTATTCGCTTATGGAAAAATGAAAAGTGGGAACTTTCTAAAAAAATATCTCCGAGACTACATTGTAGAAATTGTTTTCATCTTAAACTGAATCACACTGAATTACCAGCAGATGCTGTAATTTCCACTCTCCATTATGTATTTAAGGAGAATCCCTTCTTTTGGTTGCCAAATTCAGTAGATATTCACACAGTAGTGAATGGGTTCAAAATGTTAGGAGTCGCAGCCAATGGAGACGTTATAGGGATCAACCCCGAGCTAACAGAGTTGATTATGGATAATAACAATAAGAAATCTGCCGCTTTTAATTTGACAATAGGGCCTGATAAAAAACTCTACAAAACAACTGGTGGCTTCAATATTGAAATAAAGAAAGGTTCCAAACATGTTTTCATCCAGATCCTATGTGACATTGAGGTGACATTCAATGTATCTATCTACCCGGGACTCAATGTCAGCCACCCTCCCATAGCATCTTACATTGCCTTCCCGGATAAAGATCCAATACCACATCAAATGGATTCTGCCACCACTGAGTGTGCAGTTACGGCGCCATATATGCTTTGTCTTCCTCAATCGTTGCTTAGCGGTTTGTCCGGTAATAAAGGAAGGAAGTGGAACATCTCAGTTGTAATACAGTCTGAACCAATTGTGAAGCATCGAACTGCCAAAGTTGTGCGCATTGCTGTTTTTACAGCAGACTGTCTAGTTTTGAATGGCATTCAGAACCAGTGGGAAGAAGGAACTTGTAGTCTTGGCTCTCACACGAGTTGGTCCAAGATACATTGTATCTGTAAAGCAAAAAAGCATAATACAACGGCGACTATAACAACCAGTCGTCAATTATTAATTGATTCTGATCCTCACATCAGATTTTTGGCTGGCAAATTTGCTTTGTTCCCAAATCCTTTGGATATTAAAAAGGTCGTATTAGCAGAATTTGACTCAAATCCAGTTACTTTGTTTACAGTATTTTCCATTTTTGCCGGCTACATCTTTTGTAGTACCTGGGCTACAATCAAAGATAAAGCTGACCTGAAAAGGAAAAACAAAATACTGGTCTTGCCAGACAATGACCCCTACCACAAAGTGCGTTATTTGATCACCATATATACAGGAAGTCGGTTAGGATCAGGAACTACAGCAGATGTTTTTGTTGAACTGACAGGTGAGAAAGGTGTTAGTGATATACATTGCATAAAGCACCCCCAGTTTCCAACTCTTTTCCGTGCGTCCGTTGACACCTTTCTTCTAACGACTAGATATGAATTAGGGGAAATTTTGTCCCTTCATGTCTGGCACAATAATGGCGGTTCATCCCCTAACTGGTATTTAAGCCGAGTCAAAGTATACAATGTGCAAACTAAAAAATCTTGGCTGTTTATATGTAGAAACTGGTTAGGTCTTGGCAAGGCTGATGGTAAAATAGAAAGATTGTTTCCTGCTAAACACCAACACTCAAGCTTAAATAAAATGGATTACTTCTTTATATCCCTTGCCAGAGACTTGGAAGAGACCCACATATGGCTCTCAGTATTTTCTCAGGTTGTTACTGGTAATTTCACCAGGGTGCAAAGGGTATCCTGTTGCTTGGTAATCATGCTCATTAATCTCTTATTCAATATCATGTACTTCAGTGCTGAAGAGGAAAAAGAACTTCAGTCTAGAAAACAACGGCTTCTGAAATCTCTCTATATTGGATTTGTGAGTGCTTTGTTTTCCATCCCTATGCAATTGATTATAACATGGTTATTTAAATACTCAGAAGATAAACCTTCGGTAAGTACCAGAGGTGAGAGTGGGCTAAAAGCAAATCCCCCCTCTTTGTCTGAAACTCTCTCGACTGATGAAACTTCATCGGGTCCTGAAACTTTGAGCGTGAAAAGGCAGCATACAAAAATTTCAAACAGCAATGCTAATAATAATGATGTGACAGACAAGGATGCAGGAGCAGCTGAGGCAGAACACAAAACAGTGCATACGGAGTTCTTATTCTTTTTTCAAACACCAGAATTTGCATGGTGGTGGAGATATGTCGCTTGGGTGCTGGTCTTTATAATATCTGGAGTCTCGTCATTTATCATTATATTATACGGTTTGTCCTATGGCTATACAACTTCAATGGAATGGTTTATAGCGTCCATGACATCTTTTTTTGAGAGTGTATTTTTGTTGCAAACTCTAAAGTTGTGTCTTATCTCAGCAGTGAGTACTATTACTCTTAAATACTGTAAAAACATCCCCTGGAAGAGCAGAGAACAGTACTTTCAGATGAAGCTGGTCCAAGTAAATATCGATCAGAAAGACTTTAAAAAGATTCATCATGAGCTTCTCAGAATCAGGCGCAGCAAGCAATATGAACCGTTAACGGAGGATGAACTGATTGTCTTGAAGAAAAAAGTGAAAGCTCAACATCTCGCTTTTGTTTTTATAAAGGATATAATCTGCCACCTTCTTTTCTCATCCTGCATTTTATCTGTTGCTTATTCCACAGATCCCACAACTACCTTTTATTACAATAAAGCTATACATGACAAGTTTTCCCCTGGCCTGTCAAAAATAAATAAGCTGGAACAAATTTACGTGTGGATGAGCAATGTCTTTGTGCCACTGATGCACAATGACTATCAACCAACTTATCTTTCAGAATCTTGGTCCAAAATACTCGGTTTACCCAGAATGAGGCAAATAAGGGCACAGAAAACTGAAAATACATGCTTCCCTCCAAACAGCTTTGTAAATAACTATATGATTAGTAAAAGCCACTGCCGCCCTGATTATAATACCGATGCAGAAGATCAGCGTGACTACCTTGGATCATGGCTCACCCCAGCCATTGGGCACGTTTCAACGCAAGTCAGCGATTTTCAAGGATTTTCATATGAATCTGACATTGACCAGTGGGAATATAAGTCATATGGTGTTTTAAATGCATATGGACCTGGAGGGTACTCTTTTTATTTCTTTCCACAAGAGCAACGACCCAATACAACACTGAGACTGATTGATTTGGAAAAGAACAGCTGGCTTGATGAGTGGACCTGGGCAGTGATTTTTGAATTAACAACATTTAATCCAGATGTAGATCTGTATTGTAGCATTACTATCATATTTGAGACTAGTGATCTGGGCATTGTTAATGCAAGTTTGTCTGTTAATTCTTATAAACTCTCTGTTTTTCACTACCAAAGCAACTCTCAGTTGATTGTATATGGAATTATAGTATATATTCTTGTTTTTTATCTTGCTGATGAATTTCACATGCTGCGTGAACAAAGGATAGGTTATCTCCAAACAGCAACTAACTTAATTAATTTTGCAATAAAAACAATCTGCTTGTTTTTTATATTGCTAATTGCACTAAAATTTAAGTTGGCCCGCTCTTTGTTAGAGCGTCATTTACAAAACCCAGAAGATTTTATTGCCTTTCATGTAGTTTCTCAAATTGATCAGCTCTATAGGATGGTTGCAGGTGTTTTGACCTTCCTTCTGGTTTTAAAACCATACCGCTATTTCAGATTTTTGTACAAAATGCGGCTGGCAGAAAAAGCTATGTCAGCTGCCTTTCCTGAGTTTGTTTATATGACAGTGTTCACAGGTATGATGTTTTGTGCATATATGATATTTGGTTATCTCATATATGGTCAAAGTGAGTGGAATTATAATACTTTGATTCATTCTCTCCAGACTGTATTTTCATACTCCTTTTTTGGCCTTAGAACGACTGGCATTATAGCTGATAAATGGTTAGGGCTATTTTACAGAGCGTCGTTTACATTTGTAATATTATTTATATGTCACAATTTATGGAGAGCCCTAATAATCGTTAATTACATGTCAATGAAACACCCTGTCTATGAACAACATTCTGATGAAGCTGAAGCAATAAACTTTGTGGTTCTGAAGATTCGACGTATGTGGCTTTCCTTCAGCCAGCCACAATCATCTATAAGTGACAGCGACGTTACCAACACTTTTATTTTTGGAAAGCCTACAGCTAAGGGTGATAAACAACAAGGGCTAAAAACCACACGGATAGAGGGCAAGAAAATGATTTATCTTTCTGTTTGACAAAGGTAGTGATAAACATTAAATAAATGTGATCATAATTCTGTCACAAACTGATCTCCGTTGAGTTTTTATACTGTCTTGAGTGTATTCCATTCCCTTACTTCATCACTGTTTCCACCTCTGATGATTTTCAATGTCCTCTCAGTATACAAAGGCATCTTGTAGCAGCTTAGAGACTAACTTAGAGAAATTGTGGTGTGTGTTTTCGTAGACTTAAAGCTCATCCACACTGGCTGTTTAGCTTGGTGTAAATGTGCCCTATAGCAGCCTCAGATCCAACATATTTGTGCTGTATCTGGGCCCTGGTTTACACAACCATGGAGCACAGCACTTCTCTGAAGCAATGTACAACCTAGCTTCTCCATGTCACCACCACCACTGCTCCTAGTGAGCCATGGAGCTCCATTAGTTACTCCTTTGCTATGGTAGTTGCCACTGCTAACATCAGAACCGGGTGCCTGAGTGATAAGGAAGAAGAAGGGGACAATTCATCTTTTTCCTGATTCCACAAGGGCTTTCTTCTGAGATTGGCAGAGGTGTCCATGCAACTAGGAAGAAGGGAGGGGGCGGGATTGTGTGTGTATCTCTGTCTATAGCAGAACAGAGCACCCAGATAATTGGGAAGAAGGAAGGGAGACTGCAATTATGACAAGTGACTGTATGTAGTACATATCTATATAAATAAAAATGTAATGTTCGTTTGTGGGATTAACAGAACTCAAAAACCACTGGATGAATTGACACCAAATTTGGACACAAGACACCTAACAACCCAATGTATGTCCTTCACTCAAAAAAATGATTTTGTCATTTGGGAGTTGTAGTTGCTGGGATTTATAGTTCACCTACAATCAAAGAGCATTCTGAACCCCATCAACGATGGAATTGAACCAAACTGGGCACACAGTTCCCCCATGACCAACAGAAAATACTGGAAGAATTTGGTGGGCAGTGTCCTTTGGTTTTGGAGTTGTAGTTCACCTATATCCAGAGATCACTGTGGACTCAAACAATGATGGATCTGGACCAAACTCTACACAAAGACTCAATATGCCCAAATGTGAACACTGGTGGAGTTTGGGGAAAATAGAATCTTGACATTTGAGAGTTGTATTTGCTGGGATTTATAGTTCACCTACAATCACGGAGCATTCTGAACCCCACTAATGATAGAATTGGGCCAAACCTCCCACACAGAATCCCCATGTGGGCACAGCAACACATGGCAGGGGATGTCTAGTTATCTATATAAATAAAAATGTAATGTTTGTTTCTGGGATTAGCATAACTCAAAAACCACTGAACGAATTGACACCAAATTTGGACATAAGACACATATCAGGCCAACAAGTGACCATTACTCATAAAAACACTGAAAAACACAGCAGAAGAGACTTTAAAAGCCAAAAACAAAAAAATACATTACAATGCATGCGCAAAACCACATATATATACGCAACCATATATATGTGTGTGCGTGTGTGTGTGTGTATAGACACACACACACACATGCACATGCAAACACAAATATATTAACCTAGTAACATATAATTGTGGGGAAAACGCACAAGAGAGTAATAATCTTATTAGAAATAAGATTGGTTTAATATTAAACAATATATGCCTAAATTAGCTACTAGTTTCCAATTCCTTCTTTATATCTTATTTCAAACAGAGCTCAAAAGGAAACTGACATTATTTTTTTATTTTAGAGAAGAAAATAAGCCTCACTTCACTCCAAAAACAGTGATCTGTCACTGACACTTTTCTCCATTGACAAAAATTTTCTTTGGCTAAATTTGGCTATTATTTATTCATTGGGTTCCTTTTGTATGAATGAAACTCCTGTTTTATGAATGGACTCCAGCTACTCAGTGCTCCTAGGGCCTGCTATGCACCCCCATGAACGCTTATGAACTTTCCATGAACTTTTATGGACTTTGGAAAGGGATTTTTCCATTTATAGGAGGCAATGCATGTTCAATTTCACAGATTTTGTGTCCTTATCTTGTTCTATTGCCTGTTTCAAAATCTGTTGAACGGATTCTTCTACTATGGAGAGGATCCCACCAAATTTGGTTTAGCTGTATTTTACCCTTGCCAAGCCCAGTTGCTTGGGAGTGAAAAATATATACACTATCTCCTCTTGTATGATCTCATGCTAAGGTCAACATGATCAGGCATCCAGCGATTATTTATTTTACTTTATTTTATTCTACCAGGCAGGTATGTTAGTTGGAAGTTGAACTTATACATCACCTTTTAACATATTTGTTAAACTTAATAGTAAAATGAATTAAGAGTACTATCATAATATAAAAAAGAACATTTTAATAGACATTTTAATTTGGTTTGCATCAATGTGATTTTTGAGCTTGTATCTTTTTTACAAGTTGGGTAATCCTGGGGCTAATATTATTGCTCAAAGCTACATGCATATCATCACACTTTCAATCAATTCCTAGACTTGTTTTTAATTACCAGAAAAGCAGAAAAGCTGAGGAGTCTTCTAATCAAGGTGAAAGAAGAAAGCGCAAAAGCTGGGTTGCAGCTAAACATAAAAAAACCAAGATTATGGCAACAAGAATGATTGACAACTGGAAAATAGAGGGAGAAAATGTGGAGGCCATGACAGACTTTGTATTTCTAGGTGCAAAGATTACTGCAGATGCAGACTGGCCAGGAAATCAGAAGACGCTTACTTCTTGGGAGGAGAGCAATGTCCAATCTCGATAAAATAGTGAAGAGTAGAGAGATCACACTGGCAAAAAAGATCCACATAGTAAAAGCCATGGTATTCCCCGTAGTAACCTACAGATGTGAGAGCTGGACTTTAGGGAAGGCTGATCGAAGGAAGATAGATGCTTTTGAACTGTGGTGTTGGAGGAAAGTTCTGAGAGTGCCTTGGACTGCGAGAAGATCCAACCAGTCCATCCTCCAGGAAATAAAGCCCAACTGCTCATTGGAGGGAAGGATACTAGAGACAAAGTTGAAGTACTTTGGCCACATCATGAGGAGACAGCAAAGCCTAGAGAAGACAATTATACTGGGGAAAGTGGAAGGTAAAAGGAAGAGGGGCCGACCAAGGGCAAGATGGATGGATGGCATCCTTGAAGTGACTGGACTGACCTTGAAGGAGCTGGGGGTGGTGATGGCCGACAGGGAGCTCTGGCGTGGGCTGGTCCATGAGGTCACGAAGAGTCGGAGATGACTGAACGAATGAACAACAACAAAGCAGAAAAACCCTTGTTCGCATAAATAAGTTGTGGAGAAGAGCAGAAGATAGCAAAAGGTGATTCCTCGAATTTTAGTATAGAAATTGCTTTTTTAAACCCCAAAACTCCTCAAGAGAAACAGATTCAGTCAGATTTTCCATAATCTCTCACACTTCAGCCCACCCACCCACTGGATTTGCTTTATTTTTAAAGTTGCCCCTTTAGGACTCTACCCTCTTCTTTACTGAATCTGACCCCATACGATTCCCCTCCAACTCCCAGTAATTTTGGACTTTGAAAAAAAATCTTTTTGTGGAAACAAGGTAAATAAGGTTTTAAAAAATTACACCTGGATAGTATATGTTGTAGTACAGCGTGATAGTAACGTTCCTACTACCGGTAGAAGGGAGAAGAGGGCTGCGCAGGTGTTGGAGGAGGAGCAGCAGCGAAAGCGGATTGGAGACATATTCATGGCTCCAACTGATTCCAAATCCTTCGAGGGCTTCTCAGACTGTGACATGGGGGAAGGAGAGGAAAGCAGGGGAGTTAAGCGGGCTACTCGAGAACAAGAATCTGATGAGGAGATCCAAAGGAAGCGTATCCGTGATATACTTAGCGCTCCAACAGAAGATGAAGACTTTGTGGGTTTTGAAAGGAGTGATGGGACTGGGAGTGACAATGAGGAGAGGATGATTTTGACTGGACCCATGTACTGGAAATTAGGGACATCTGTACTCAGCCTACCTCCAGTGATGACTTTGAGGGGTTTGCAGAAGAGTGGTAATCGGGGAACACTTGGGAGGACCTAAGTCTTGACAGACGCTGGCAAAGGTGGAGAGATGGGAGGCAGTGCTCAGCTGCAGGGAATGGGGCAGCTGAAAGTGATGATGAAAGGGTGGGGAGTAGTTCTTCCTCTGATGAGGAGTTATAGGATACAAGTTGGTTTGGTTTCAATGGGTATTTGCAGAAGGCAAAGTGTTTTATTGGGTGTGAATCTTTGTTACTGCCATTACTCTCAAGCTTGGGTCCTTGGACTACAGATCTCTGTGTTTCCATGACTTCTGGCTGAAACTCCGTAAGTGCTGACTTCAACCTTCCCTTTGACTCCGGCCTGTGTTTTGACAACAGCTATGCTTTTTGGACTGCTTCATCTCATTTTGGACGTGCCTGGACTTCGGACTGCTTTTGGACTCTGATTTTGCGTGCTCCCACCTTGTTTTCTTGTGCTTTTTGGACCTTTTGAATTTCAAGCAAATTGCTGTATCTTTTTGTTATCCCAGATTATACTCTGGTATAATTCAGATTATATTTAAATTGGCTTTTTTGGTTAGCAGTTGCTGTAGACTCTTAGTTTGTGCTAGAGGCACTTAGTTAAGTGTCTCTAAGCCTTTTTTGTGTTTAATAAACCTCTGTTTGGACCTTTTATACTGTGTTTGGCATTCTTGAGGCTTCTGGGTCTTGACAGTATAGGTATAAGAGGATCATTTAAATCCAGAAGAGCTCTGCAGTATTGAACCCTTGGAGAGAAGGATGTGTAAAATATTCTATGACCATATTGCCAATAGACATTGATTGCTCAAGATAAAAATAGAAAGACTCTAGAATCAACTCAGATTCTTCCACCATGTTGCTAGGAGACAGCCGTTGCTGTTGAGCCAGGTTTCTTTACAACACCAAAGATGCAGAATCTTTTCCATCATATCTTTCTCTTCTGCTCTTTCTCCTGCCTCTACTACCAAGTGGCTGCACCACTTCATTTCCTACCACCACCACTGTTAGTTACTTGCTCAGAGCCAAGAAATCGTGTTTATCAACGACAAGACAATGCGCTTCGAATCTCATGTCTGTGGGACGGCTTTATTGTGATGCATTACTCAAGAATACCAGGAGTAAAATCCGGGGAAGAAGAGTCAGTTTTCCAACCACCACCTTACTGTCGCTGGTTCCGAAATTCCATTCTGGTAAACAGTACAAATCTCTGGTCAGGAAATCTAACGCTGGGCCCAGGCCTGCCAGGAGACAGCCCTCATCCACCATGGGCTTATAGTCAGATCACCGTACAGTGCACATCAGCGTTTTGCTCACCTCCCTTGTGCTTTCACCGCAATCTGAGTATTGAGGTTTGTGGGCAAGATGTCCGTCTCTTCCTGTTCTGGCCACGTACCCGTCCAATTCTGGAATGGCAGCCTGTGCACTTGGGTTGGTGTGCACGTCTTAAGAGTTCCACGTGGATCTACCACTTCAGGAGTCAAGGGGGTAGTCCTGCTGATCTCCTCATTCCTAGTGATCAACACACTGAGCTCCCTCCATCCGTTGCATACCTTAATGCAGAGCTGCAGCAGGTCTGTAGGTCCTATTATAGCTACCACTTGACTGTGCGCTATTCCCACCGTGGGTTCTACACTGCTTCTGTCACCATTGAGCATGGGCCTCAGGTCAGCGTTAGTACGGATTTCTTAGTAGAGTCAGCCTTGCTACATGTTTTTAGTGCAAATTCCACATTGCTGAGCCATCCACATGGGACATTCAATCTTTCTTGGAGTTTTCAACAACTCAGCCAAGGGATAGTAGCTTACAAACTATTGAACATACATGACACAAAAGGGTGGTCTCATTCCTACAGTTATAACCCTTTTGCTTTGCATAGTAATTTCTGTGCTGTCCATAAACCACAACAATCCAAGGAAAAGGTGGTGGCTATTATCTACTTCCAAACCAATGAAAGATCATTTGGAGAGCTGTCAGGAAAACTCGATTTCTCTAATCAGACTCTGATATTTAATGTAAATAATGCAGTTCCAACTTACCTCACAATCAACCCACAGAAAGTCAAGATAGGCACATATATTGTTAGCCATAACACAGGACTTTACTATTCGATGGAAGATGGTGCCACCAATAAAAATTCCAGCTCCCACTATATCTTTTACCAGCAAGCAGGCTTTTCCTACCTGGTCATTGTGGAGTTTGTGCAGCTACAATTGTTCAGTTTCAGTACGCACATATATCTGAACCGGAAGGGAAGACTCTTCAAGTCTCTAAGAGAAAAAGAGATAGAAATTCACGTTTTCAACAGCACTTTTCCTGATGAAAATTTGGTCTATATTGTATGGTTTATTCCCGTACAACATCCTCTGTTGCAGTGCAAATGGCTCTTCAACCTGCAACTTTTGGATTCAAAAGACAAGAATGAGGTTCAGAACTATAGTTTTGCCTACAGGAATTATGTCAAAAATGCAACACAGTTCATTCCTGACTCTGTCTTACCTTTCAACCCTGCTTTGTACACTGGCTTTGTTGCAAAAATGAAGTGCATTAGCAGTAGATTTGTACTAATGGTTTTGAAAGCTACATTCAACCTTTACAGTTCTAAAGTCATAGAATCCAGATTAGCTTGTCATCAAAAAGCTTGTTCTATTACAAAAATTAATATCCAGAGGTCTGAGACATCTAAATTCATCCTACATTATGCTCCAGGGATGGAATTTACCCTGGCCGCTGAAACACTAATAAACTGCCCAGGCCCTAAACAAACAGAGGTCATCTGGAACATTTATAAAGTGCAAAATAGGACCAGTACCCCAGACTGGTCCAAACCTTTCAACCCACCTGGAATTAGGAGAAGAAATGACATGACATTAAACATTCCCAGTTCTAGCTTAGACGATGGCTTGTACGTCTTTAATTTCTCCATGAAATTAAAATCATTAGATACATGGGATATTACTAAAAGTTCAGATTCAGTGCTTGTTGAGATTGGGCCAGATAACTTGATGGCCGCCATTGCTGGAGGCAATTTCCGGTCAGTTAGCTTTTCTGACCAGTGGATACTGAATGGATCCGTTTTCTCTAATGGTGAAGTGATCCAATCCTTTCAAAAAGGACTCTCCTTTATTTGGTATTGCACCAAACACAAATCAGACTATGCCTCAATGACTCTAAGTAGAAATGGGAAATGTCATCCAGACCAGGTAGACTTGAAATGGACAACTTCATCTGACCCAGTTCAAACAGTGAGACCTAAAACACTTCAAGGAAGCAATACATACTATTTCCTCTTGATGGTTCAGTATGGTAGCCGAACCGCCCGTGCTGAACAAGCAATATATGTGCATATTCACTCCACCTTAATCCTGAATGTTACATGTCTAGAAAACTGTGATAAATCATTAGTTCCGACAGAAAGATTTTGTCTTTCTGGCAAATGCCTAAATTGCAGAACCAACAAGCCTTCCTATCACTGGTCACTTCATTCGGCACAATCCAATGAAATAGATTTTGACTGGTCTTCCAAAACTACAACAGGAAGGTCCAGTCCATATTTACGTATTAATGCTTTTGCATTTGAAACCATGATAGAGCATTCATATGTCCTTACCTTGAAAGTCTCAACAACAGAAGGACAGTTGGCCATCTATAAGTATTCTTTTTATGTTAATGGACCACCTCAGCTAGGAAAATGTGTCCTTAACCCAAAAATCGGTATAGCATTCCTAACAAAATTCATTATTCAGTGCAATGGGTTTGGAGACAAAAATGAACCTCTTGCATATAAAGTAATAGCAGCATATAATCAAATAGAAATGAGTACTATATCATCGATAGAGAACAATACTTTGGGAATAATAGTGTATTCTGGCCATGACTATAAAACCCCTCAATTTTTCCTCCCAAATGGTGTGCCATCTCATAACTCTGCCTTGGTTATATATGTTCAAGTATATGATGCTCTTGGAGCAAGTTCTCAAGTAACTTTACAAGCAACTGTGCATGATGAAAAGAAAAGTAAGTCACTGGGTGTTATTCATCATGAACTACATTCCTTAATGAATGGGCAAAGTGCTCTTATGACAACTTTTCGGATAACGAAGGATTATTTTGATATAGGTTACTTTGTTTATATGGTGGCCTCGGTTTTAAATAACATTGAGAACCCAAGTCAGGGTTCTACATCTGATTTGAGGCAAATCCTCCTTAATATGACTGCAGAAATGCCAACAAATACTGCACAGGAAATAAATCAGGTTATTTTAAGTATTTGCCAGGTAACACATGAAACCACGGAAATCAATGAGGAATCACAACTACTTGCAATCAAGAAACTGAAGGAAGCCAGTAAAGCTCTAAAAAGACTCAAGGACAAAGATTTCAGTTCGAAGGAAACTGATATCCTTGGCCGTGGTATTCTTATTGGGTTGTCCAATGTGTTGAAAGCTTCCCTCTCGCACTACCAAAAGGTCAATATCAATGTAATTAAAGAAACGATTTTTGTGATGGAAATATTAGCAGACTTAGTCTTACGAGATAAAGTCCCTGGAGAAAATGAAACTGTAATGAAAACAGAAAACTGGAGCGTTCATTTACAAAAATATGCAAAGGCGGACCTTTTTGGAAATGTTTCCAATAGAAAAGATTGCAAGAATTGCTTTTATCCCAAACTGAAGGAGGGTCTTCATGCCGAATTAAATGTCGATGCCGTGGTTACCAGTGTTTTTTATGTATTTGACATAAATCCTTTCCCTTGGTTGCTTTTCACAGAAGATATTGGAACAATAGTAACCGGATTCAAAATGACAGGTACCCAACCTAATGGTGATATAATTAGCCTCACGCCTGATTTAGTTGAAATTATCATGGCCAGGAAAGATGAGGTCATCTTTGACTTGACTATTGGTCCGGACAAAACGCTTTCTAAAACAACTGGAGGCTTTAGTTTTGAAATAAAGAGGAGTACCAAAGATGTTTTCATCCAGATTGTCTCCAAAAGGAACATCACTTTCCAGGTATTTATATACCTAGGTCACAACATCAGCCACCCTCCCTTGGCTACATATACTGTTTCCCATCACAGTCCCCCAACACCTACTGAAAATGACACTACTATTCCTGACTGTGCAGTTGTGGCTCCCTATATCCTTTGTCTTCCACAATCATTGCTCTGGTCTCCAATCTATAGCAACAGAGAAGACAAAGTGAGCATCTCTATTGTCTTACAATCACACCCGTTTGTGAGAGAACAGACTACAAAGATTGTTCGCATTGCCCTTTTTGCAGCAGAATGCCTTGATCTGGATGGGATTGAAAAACAATGGGAAGAAGGAACATGCAGCCTTGGCCCTGAAACAAGCTGGTCCAAAATACATTGCATTTGCAAACCAAAAGGACTCGACATGATTACAGGTAGTCCTAGGACAGCAGGGACCTCTGAAACTGGCCTCAGATTTTTAGCCAGCAAGGTGTTTTCATTCCCTAATCATAAGGATATGAAAAGGTCCCTTTTAACACATGATGTGCATTATCCCATAGCAGAATTGACATTATTTATTATTTTTATACTTTACACATTGATGGCTGCCTGGGTCTTAACAAAAGATAAAGTCGGTACGGAAGACCAAATCATCGATCTGCCAGACAATGATCCTTTTGACATGATAAAGTACCTAGTCACTATATATACAGGAAGTCGTCTCAGAGCAGGCACAAGAGCTGGTGTTTTTATTGAGCTGATGGGCGAAAATGGGGCCAGTGGTGTGCATCATTTAAAGCATCCACATTTTCCAAGAACCTTCCGCCGAGGATCTATTGACACTTTTCTTTTAACTACAATGATCGACTTAGGAGACATTTCTTCTCTTCATATCTGGCATAATAATTGCAGTTTTGGTCCTAATTGGTACCTAAGCCGAGTCAAAGTCCAAAACCTGGAGACTGAAGAGACATGGCTATTTTGGTGTAGAAAATGGTTATCTCTTCGCAAAAATGGTTGCCAAATCGAAAGGACATTTGCTGTTACAAACCCAAGTAGACGTGTAAGTAAAATTGATTGTTTTTTAATAACAGTTAGCAATGATGTGAGCGGAAACCACCTCTGGCTGTCTGTCTTCACTTATCATAGAATCCATGGCTCTTTGAGCAGATTCCAAAGGTTGTCCTGTTGCTTGGTGATATTGCTGACCTCCTTGATGTTTAACTCTTTATTATTTGCTAGTGAGAAAGATCGATTTATTTTATCAGTAGACTTGTCATACCTGAGATCTATAGGAACTGGAATAGCAGGTGCTTTAATTTCCATCCCTGTGCAGGTGATCTTGACCACCTTGTTTAAGCACTCACAAAAGAGGCCGGCACCATCTCACCCAACTCAAAGTCAACAAAAAAAGAGACCCTCCTTAGTAGCCGAATATCTTTGTACCGAGGATAATGTAAGAGAGGCTCCACTTGCAGAGATGACATCTCAACCATTCCCACCCACCAATGCCAATGTCAATAACAATTATCCAGTCGAAACGACAGTACAGTGTAAGAACACAAAGAATCCAAATCCTAATCACTGGTCTGCAGTCACAGCTTGGTCCTTGGTGTTATGTATCCCTGGGATGTCAGCATTTTTCATCATAGTGCACGGCCTGTCTTTTGGCTACATAACATCCTTGGAATGGTTGCTAGCTTCCGTGACATCCCTTTGTGTACATGTGTTTTTGTTTGAGACCTTACAGATACTTGTGATTTCAGCTTGGCGTACTGGTTTTGCAAAATACTGTCGAGACCTCCCATGGCAAAGCCACCAAGTTATTCACTTTAAGAGTAAAACTCAGACTGCCAGTGAGATGAAACTCTTGCATCATGAGCTGACTATACTTAGAGCTTCCGAAGATTACCAGCCCTTAAAGAAGGAAGTAGTTAGAAAATTGCGCAGAATACATAGGATTAAACATCTGGCTTATGTTTATGTGAAGAATATGTTCTGTCATCTTTTCTTCTTATCTTTAATCTTAACCGTTGCAAAGCCTGCTGAAATCACAACTTTGTATTATTCCAATCAGTATATGACAGAGACATTTTCTGTTGATCTAGCTGAAGTAACTACAATAGAGGATATTTACACATGGGTGAAAAATGTCTTTCTGCCAATGATACACAATGACAATGAACCAACGTATCTTTCAGGCACTTGGTTCAAAATTCTTGGATTGCCCAGAATGAGACAAATAAGAAGTCAAAGTTCTCCAACCAAATGTTTCTTTCCGTATGGCTTGACAAATACATTAAGCCTGAATGATATTCATTGCCGAAAGAAATACGGAATTGATCCTGAAGATCAAGCTGACTACCTTGGATCATGGTCAGTAAAGGCCAATAGACCAATTCCTATTGACAATCGTGCTTTTTTCGGTTTCATTTATGAACATCCTGCTTATCAGTGGGACTATTACTCATATGGGAAATTCAACACCTATTCATCCAGAGGATACAGCTTTTATTTTTTTCCAGGGGAGACACAAAATAATTCAACAACGAGGTTAGAAACTTTGGAAATAAACAAGTGGCTTGATGATAAGACATGGGCACTGATTATTGAATTGACCACTTTTAACCCAGATACAGATCTATACTGTTGTATTTCTGTCATATTTGAGTTTTCCTATATTGGCCCTATTGTCAGTAAGGTGTACGTTGAATCTTGCCACCTCCCTCTTCTCACTGACCAATCCAGCAGTGAGGTTTTCTTCTTGCTAGCCACTGTATATATGCTCATAACATATATTACTGATGAATGCTGGATGATCTATAAACAGAGGCTGAAATATATAAAAGCAGCTACCAACTTAATCAATTTTGGAATGAAGACACTTTGCACTATTTATGTAATGTTACTTTTATACAAATTTCATCTTGCTGAGGAATTAGTACAGTTTTATTTTCTCAATCCCTATCAGTTCATCCCTTTCCACGTAGCTTCCCAGTTTGATGAGACAGTCAGGATAGTTATGGCATTTTTGCTTTTTCTCTTAATTTTGAAAATGTTCCGCTATTTCAGATTCATATATGGGGTACGCCTGGCTCAAAAATCCTTACATGAAGCTTTACCTAAAATGATTAATCTGTCTTTTGCAGGGGCCATATTCTTTTTTGGATTTATGTCGCTTGGGTATCTAGCATTTGGACAACATGAAGTAACATTTCGAACTCTGTTAGATTCTTTTACCACTGTATTGTCTTACTGTGCCTTAGCATTTAGGGACACTGAATTTTCATCTGATAAGCTTCTAGGTGGTCTTTTCTTAGGTTGTTTTCAGTTTGTGATGATTTGTGTTTTTGTCAATTTAAGTGAAGTTATTATAATCTCTGCTCATGTGGACATGAAAGAAACTGTTTATGAACTACCATCACATGAAGCTGAAGTGATATACTATTTAGTCCAAAGAATCCACAGGCTTTGTTTTTTTCTTTCAACTGGTACAAAACCTGAAAAAGAAACCAATTTCTTGAATCGGATACTGTATGGAAAAATGGAAAAACATAATAAGCGACAGACTAAAAGGCAGAGTATGTAACGATACAAAGACTTCTTTTTATGTTTGATGAAGTTTGAGTAAAATAAATTAATTTTTGTAATAGTTTCTCCAATGTTGTTGGCATGCAGTGGTTTTGAAATGCACACATACACCATGTTGTCACATTTCTTTGGTTTATTTATTTATTTATTTATTTATTTATTTATTTATTTACAGCTTTTATGTTCCGCCCTTCTCACCCTGCAGGGGACTCAGGGCGGATTACAGTGTACACATATATGGCAAACATTCAATGCCAATTTTTGACATACAAATATATACAGACATAGACAGAGGCTATTTAACTTTTTCTGGCCACCAGGGGAGCTGTTGCTTTCATCGTCCATCTTCCAACACTGATGAAGCACTTCCGCATTCCCCGCATGCTTCCCCGCTGGAATGCTTTGCTGGAGTCTTCTTCATGGCCTCATAAATCAGTTAATTTAGCCTCCCCACACTTTAAGGCGGTACCTAATTTTTCTACTTGACAGATGCAACTGTCTTTCGGGTTGCAAAGGTCGACAACAGGCTACACACAATTGGTTGGAAACCCACTCCAACCCGGGCTGGCTTCGAACTCATGACCTTTTGGTCAGAGTGATCTTAATGCAGCTGACACTCAGCCAGCTGAGCCATAATCCCGGTTGTACCATGACTTCCCTTGGTTCCACACTTAGGTTGTTTCATGGGATATTTTCTGGCCCAACTTACCTGTCCGAACGCATCTCCCTTTATAAACCATTGAGGACTTTAAGATTGTCTGGGCAGGCCCTGCTCTCAGTCCCACCTTCGTCACAAGTATGTCTGGCGGGAACGAGAGACAGAGCCTTCTCGGTGGTGGCCCCTCGCCTATGGAACACCCTCCCTAGGGATATCAGGTCAGCTTCATCCCTCTTAACATTTCGGAAACAACTCAAGACATGGCTTTTCGAGCAAGCATTTGCAAATGCAGAGTAGCAGACATAGGATAATGGAACAACTATACGATGGGACTGGCCAATGTTTTAATAAGGATTTATTAATGGCTTATGTTTTATTGCTGTTGTTATGATTTTATGTATGTTAATATTTTTAAATTGTATAGTATTTATGCTTTGCGGCATTGAATTTTTGCCTTGTAAACCGCCTCGAGTTGCCTGAGGGCTGAGAGGAGCAGTATACAAATACAGTAAATAAGTAAATAAATAATGTTCTAATACCTGTACGGTTACTGAATTAAATATTTGATTAATTCAGTGGTTCTTTACCTGTTTTGGCCTTCAACTCCCAGAAATCCTAACAGTTGGTAAACTGGCTGAGATTTCTGGGAGTTGTAGGCCAACCCACAGGTTGAGAACCATTGGAATAATTAAATGTGAACACCGATAGGTGCATGTGCAGCAATAGTGCAAATTTAGTGATACAAACCAGGAAGGGTTTTCTTAAACTCCAGTATACAATCATATATTCTGTTGAACAACATTGAAGAGAATACTGCTATATCTTCCAGGTCCTTGTTTGCCATGTTGTTTACACTCCTATTTATTTAGTTACTTTATTTTTATCCCACTTTTTTTGTCCAGTGCTGTTTGAGACATAATAGGGTATTTGTTCATGACCACATCAACCCCTACTAACCTGCACGATCTCTAAGATCTTCTAGGGAGGCTCTCCTCTTGCTCCCAGCCCCATCACAAGCACAGTGGGTCGGAATGAGGGTGAGGGCCTCCTTGGTGGGGGCCCCCCGGCTGTGGAACTCTCTCTCCTAGGAGATTAGATTGGTACCCACCCTGTCCACTTTCTGTAAAGTATTAAAAACGTGGATGTTCCTCTTTGCTTTTGACTAGACAGTTCCCCAGATAAGTTTGTCCCCCCAGCTATGACCCAAAACCAATTCTTGCACATTACCACTGTTCCCAAACTAGAGATATATTGCTCTTTTTAATTTCCCCCATTTCCTGTTGCACTCCAGAACAGGAATAACCCTCTGAGTTTAAAACACCACACGTTGAGTAGGAAAGCAATCCCTTTTTATTGAAGATAAGTAAAAACAGCAAGGTAAAAATATGCTTTAAGAAAATAGATAAGTCCAATTAGGTAGGAAAATAAGCAGGAACAAAGTATTCCAATGTAGGGTTCCACAAAGTTCAAAAGCAAAATCCAGACTTTTGTAATCAAATCCGAAGAACCAGGAAAACATTGATTCACAGCATGAGTATATAATCACAAGAGACAAAAAGTCCAACCATAAACAAGAAATCCTTAACATGAATCTTCCAAGCAAGGCTTCCATGGGACAAGAACAAGGACTTAGCAGGATTCTGAAACGATGCTTCATCTGACTATATTTTCCATGGTGGGAACTTTATATCCCTCCGTTAGGCTATTCCAAGCACCCAGAAACTGGTTTCGTTTTCCTTGAGAGCCTCTCACTCTTATCTCTCGAAGCCTGGCAGAAGGGCGAAGGCCTTGGCTGAGCTGTCTGTTTTGGCTAATTTCTAGCCGTCTCTCTATGTGCTTATTATCTATCTGCTCATTAGTTTCTCCAGGTGCCAAGTTGTTTTCAAACCCCAAATCCTGGGAACTCTGGTTCAGGGAGTAAACTATCTTCCCTGTAGGAACATTCTCATGGAAAACTACACTTTGTCATTTTCTGGATTAATATCATTAAACAGACCACCGCCATCTTGAACCTCAGTGACATCATTCCCCACATCTAAAGCACCTTGATCTTGAAACACAATCACAGGATGAACTCCAACATTTCCTAATTTTGTCATCCGGCTTGAGCATTTTATCCATCAGCCCTATCCTTGCAAATGATTGCACCAGCCTCCCCACCCGAGCTCAGAACTATGCACTACTCAGACCATTGGTGGTTTGCTTGATGATTGTGATATATATATATATATATATATATATATATATATATATATATATATAAATAATTTTTGGTTTGTTTTCTATTGTTTGAAAAATTCTTTTCTGTTGTGTTATATTTTAACCATGTTGAATTTGGGCTTGTCCTATATTAGCCACCCTGAGTCGTGTACCCCATGGTTCTGTTTTCAGGAAAATTCCAGAAGATTAGGAAGGGGGCTGTTCGGATTCATAATTCAAGATCCAGAGTTTCATTCCCATTTCGAGAAGAATCTTCCCAAAAAACAGAAATGGGGGGATTTGAAACTAAAACAGAACAGATTTCTGCTGATTCGCACACCCCTAGTATTTTGTAATATTTTCTTATATTTATGAAAATATAGGCTGGTCCTATGTAGATGGCTCACAGCATTAATATTACGGCAGATACTACAACTGTTCCAGAGTTCAACTGACCATGGTTTTAACATGTCTCAGTTTGTCCGTGGCAATGAAAAAGGCAGGTTCATTTTTGTGGACAGTCAACCAGCTGAGTGTGAGAAATCTAGCTAATCCATCTCCTCTCCTTTCTGCCATTCAGAAAAGTAACAGGTGAACTGATATGTTAACACCATTTAATAAATATAATAATAAAGGCTTGTGCAGAAACCTTTCATGCCCCTATCTTCATAAGAGATGTGGAGTAGCCCAAACTTGCCATGTAGGTTTGACCCATGGTTTGACCCATGGTCCCAATCAAAGAAATCCCGCAATCAGAGAAATCACAAGATGCAGTCTAAGCCAAATTCAAATTTTATTACAATTTATTGACCTATTTATGTAAATGACTTTAAAATTCCAATATAACTGCTTCTTTTTTTATTTATTCTTAATATGAAAATTAAAACTAAGCCGAATTCAACACAATTTTGATGTAATTTGAGACATGCAGGGATAAAATGTGACCCTTTATGATATAACTAGCTGTCCCCTGCCACCCGTTGCTGTGGCCCACGTGGGGGTTCTGTGTGGGAGGTTTGGTCCAATTCTATCGGCGGGGTTCAGAATGCTCTGTGATTATAGGTGAACTATAAATCCAGCAACTACAACTCCCAAATGTCAAGATTCTATTTTCCCCAAACTCCACCAGTGTTCACATTTGGGCATATTGAGTATTCATGTAGAGTTTGGTCCAGATCCATCATTGTTTGAGTCCACAGTGATCTTTGGATGTAGGTGAACTACAACTCCAAAACCAAAGGACACTGCCCACCAAACCCTTCCAGTATTTTCCGTTGGTAATGGGAGAACTGTGTACCAAGTTTGGTTCAATTCCATTGTTGGTGGGGTTCAGAATGCTCTTTGATTGTTGGTGAACTATAAATCCCAGCAACTACAACTCCCAAATGACAAAATCAATTTTTTTGAGTGAAGGACATACATTGGGTTGTTACGTGTCTTGTGTCCTAATTTGGTGTCAATTCCCCCAGTGGTTTTTGAGTTCTGTTAATATCACAAACGAACATTACATTTTTATTTGTATAGATGAGGAAGAGGCCATAGTTCTGTGTCTGAGCTAATATTTGCATACAGAACATTTTTGATACATAACTGTGGTGTCTCAGTCATTGGATTCCATGATTCTGTCATAGAGAAAACTCTTACAGGAAGGAACCACTGTCCATTCAGATATTACTGGGCTCCAAATTCAGTCAGCCCTCAACAATGTTGGCCATGTAGACTTCAACATCTGGAGATGCTACAGGGTCCCCAACTCTGTATCAGAGAAAGTCTGTCTCTTTGTATGTCATGTTTAAAGAATATCAAGGGATCCTTTCTTTTCACAGAATCAAAGAGTTGGAAGAGACCTCATGGGCCATCCAGTCAAACCCCCTGCCAAAAAGCAGGAATATTGTATTCAGAGCACCCCTGGACGATGGCCATCCAGCCTCTGTTTAAAAGCTTCCAAAGAAGGAGCCTCCACCACACTCCCGGGCAGAAAGTTCCACTGCTGAAAGGCTCTCACAGTCAGGAAGTTCTTCCTAATGTTCAAATGGAATCACCTTTCCTGTAGTTTGAAGCCATTGTTCTGCGTTCTAGTCTCCAGGGCAGCAGAAAACAATTTCGCTCCCTCCTCCCTATGAATTCCTCTCACGTATTTATACATAGCTATCATGTCTCCTCTCAGCCTTCTCTTCTTCAGGCTAAACATGCCCATCTCTTTAAGCCGCTCCTCATAGGGCTTGTTCTCCAGACCCTTGATCATTTTAGTCACCCTCCTCTGGACACTTTCCAGCTTGTCAATATCTCTCTTCAATTGCGGTGCCCAGAATTGGACACAATATTCCAAGTGTGATCTAACCAAGGCAGAATAGAGGGGTACCATGACTTCCCTAGATCTAGACACTATACTTCTATTGATGCAGGACAAAATCCCATTGACTTTTTTTGCCGCCACATCACATTGTTGGCTCATGTTTAACTTGTTGTCCACAAGGACTCCAAGATCTTTTTCACACGTACTGCTCTCGAGCCACGCATCTCCAATTCTGTATTTTTGCATTTCGTTTTACTTGCCTAAATGGAGTATCTTACATTTGTCACTGTTGAACTTCATTTTGTTAGTTTTGGCCCATCTCTGTAATCTGTCAAGATCATTTTGAATTCTGCTCCTGTCCTCTGGAGTATTGGCTATCCCTCCCAATTTGGTGTCATCTGCAAACTTGATGATCATGCCTTCTAGCCCTTCATCTAAGTCATTAATAAAGATGTGAACAGGACCGGGCCCAGGACAGAATCCTGCAGCACTCCACTTGTCACTTCTTTCCAGGATGTAGAGGAAGCATTGGTGAGCACCCTCTGGGTTCTTCCACTTAACCAATTACAGATCCACCTAACCGTAGTTTTGCCTAGCTCACATTGGACTAGTTTGTTTGCCAGAAGGTCATGGGAAACCTTGTAGAAAGCCTTACTGAAGTCCAGGTACGCTACACCCACGGCATTCCCTTCATCTACCCAGCTTGTAACTCTATTGAAAAAAGAGATCAGGTTAGTCTGGCCTGACTTGTTTTTCATAAATCCATGTTAGCTATGACCGCACTTGTTTCTAAGTGTTTACAGACCACTTCCTTAACAATCTTTTCCATAATCTTGCCTGGTATCGATGTGAGGCTGACCGGATGGTAATTGTTTGGGTCATCCTTTTTTCCCTTCTTGAAGATTGGGACCACATTGGCCCTCCTCCAGTCTGCTGGAACTTCTCCCGTTCTCCAAGAACTCTCAAAGAAGATTGCCAATGGTTCCGAGATGACTTCCACTAGATTACTTTCACCAGAAAGGAAAGTTTGGACACTGGTTGCCCAGTGACATGTAAAATTCTAGAATTTCCCCGGTCATTCACTTTGTGGCAGTTGGAGGACAGCAATCTCTCCTAATCCAGGCAAGCTGTCTCCTTACTTGAAGATGCATCCCCTGTTGTTCTCTCTGCTACTCCCCTTGTGTTTAGTCTTTTCTCAGTATGCAGGAGCAATATGTCCTTATTTATTATTACCACCATTGCTTTTCATCTGCTCTGACCAAGAAAACCATATTTATCATCAGCAAGACAACAAACCCCAGACTTCACATCCATGGGGCATGATTACTGGACCATATGTAAGAACTGCACCGTTTACTTCAAGAACTAGGAAGCAACAGGCTGAACTGCCATCATCTTTCTGCTGCTGGTACTGGAGCTCTCCTTTTGCACACAGTATAGGTTCACGGATAGTGCTGGACCCTAACTTAGCAAGAAAAATCAGGGACTCCAACCTCAACACTATACAGTGTGTTTCACGTTCCTGTACCATGCGTGCATGTCTTCATCACAATCTGAGCATCAATGTGTTTGGCCAAGATATCTATCTCTTCTTCCATCAGCCACCCATTTTTCATATGCTGGAAGGGCAGCCACTGAAACTGGGTTGGTGTGCATGCCCCAAGACTTCTAGCTGGTGCTATCATTACACTCACCAGTGGGATTGCCTGGTGACCCCACTTGGAATACCTTCCAAGCAGTGTGCTTCGAGAGCACACATTCAAGTGTGTGATGCACATGGAGCATATTACCACATAACTTTACCGACAAAAGTACACGGCCCATCAAAAGATGTTTTTCTAAATGAATTACAAAATTTAATTAGTGGACCAAGAGATCCAATAACAGCTGTTCTGAAAAGTAGGGCTTACTTTAGGGCACTTTATCTCATCTACATGGTGGCTTCTACTTTAAATGATATAGAAGTTTCGCCAAGATTTCATTCCTCTAAGACTGAGCTGCGGGAACTCCTTCTAAACAGGTCTGCAGGAATTCCAACTACAAGTGTAACGGAAGCAAATTTAATGATCTCAAATATTTTTCAAATAACACATGAAGTTGCTGAGATAAACAGAAAATCGCAACTACTTGCAATACAAAAAATCAAAGAAGTTATTGAGGAACTGAAAAAACATGGCAACAAAGATTTGAGACTGAAGGAAAGAGAGATGCTTGGCACTGCTATTCTTGCAGGATTGTCCAATGTACAGAAAGCGTCTTTGTTAGAACGCAGAAATATCCACATCAATGGAATTAAGGAAACAATTTATATGACCGAGATATTAGCAGATCTAGTCTTACAAAGTAAAATTCCAGAAGAAAATGAAACGATTATGGAGGTCAAAGACTGGACCATCACACTGAGAAAAAATGAAAAAGGGGGTGTTTCTGACGCATCTTCCAAGAGAAGAGACAGCAAGAACTACTTTTACTTCAAAATGAAACAGGAGGATAGCGACGAATTAACTAGAGATTCTGTAGTTTCCATTATTCTTTATGAGTTTGATAATAATCCTTTTCCTTGGTTGCCATACGCCGACGATATCAACACAATGATAACTGGATTCAAGATGACAGGAACCAAATATAATGGCGACAGGATCGGGATCGTGCCCGATGTTGCTGAAATGATCATGACTAGAAAAGACGAGAAAAAGGATGCCACTTTTCAGGTCATGATCAGACATGACAAAAAGCTCCATAAAGCCACAGGAGAATTTAGTATTGAAGTACGTAGGCAATCCAAAAACATTTTTATTCAGATTGTGACAAATAAGAAAGCTGTTTTCCAAGTCTTTATATATCCAGGTCTCAAGGTCAACTGTGATCCTATAGCTTCTTTCAGTGTTTCCTATAATAAGATGGGAAATTATTCTAGTGATGATGACTGTGCATTTAAGGGTCCTTACATAGTTTGTCTTTCCCAGACATTGCTCAGATCCATATTCCAAGATAGCAGAGCAGACAAACGGAACATCTCTGTGGTTTTGCAGTCAGACCCATGGAACAGAGGTACCCGACTTGTGCACGTTCGGCTCTTTACTGCTGAGTGTTTGTACCTGGATGGAGTTGAAAGTCATTGGACAAACGACTTCTGCAATCTTGGTCCTCAGACCAGCTGGCAAAAGGTGCACTGCATCTGCAGAGGCAAAAAGCGTGTTTCAAGGTCTGCAAACCCTCAGCTAAGAAGAGGCTTCAGCCACAGCACCACATTTTTGGCTGGGAAAATAACAGCCTATTCAAATCCAGTAGGGATAGAAAGGACCCAGCCAACTCAAATACACCAAAATCTAGTGATACTACTAACACTCCTTTTCATATTTTTATTATCCATTGTTTTGGCTATTTGGGCCATGAGAAAAGACAGGGCTGATATAAACAGCATAGAGCATACTATAGTCTTGCCAGACAACGATCCCTTTGATAAAGTGTGCTATTTGGTCACGGTATACACCGGCAGCCGTTTGGGAGCAGGAACGACCGCTGATGTTTTTATTCAACTGACAGGAGAAAAAGCCGTCAGTGATGTACATTGCTTAAAACACCCCGAATACTTTACTTTTTTCCGTGGGGCCATCAATACTTTTCTTGTGACTAGTAAAACTGACTTAGGAGACATTTATTGTTTTAGAGTCTGGCACAATAACGAGGGTTCTTCCCCAAACTGGTTCTTGAGCAGAATTAAGGTGGAAAACATATACACAAAGAAGTCTTGGATGTTCATGTGCCGGAAATGGTTCGCTCTCGATAAAGGTGATGGCTTAATAGATAGGTCATTTATTGTTGCTCATCCGAAAGCACCTTTACACAAACTTGATTTTTTCATGATAGACTTTGCTAATACTGTAGCAGACAACCACTTATGGCTCTCCATCTTTGCTCACGTCTGTACTGGTTCTCTGAACAGGCTTCATCGATTGTTTGCTTGTTTAACAATATTGTTATGCATCCTGTTTGTCAATATTATGTTTTTCAGCGCTGATGAGGAAGAGCAAATGTTTTCTGAACATATACGATATTTGAGGCCCGTCTTAATTGGAGTTCAAGGGGCTTTTATTTCCATCCCTTTGCAAATGATTGTAACAGCTTTTTTCAAATATTCTCAAGAGGAGCCTTCAGTGCAGAGTACAACTCAGGCCCTGCCTGCACAATATTCTGCTTTCATGTTTGGAAATCTTAGTAACTGGAAAGAGTGTCTGCAAAAATGGTACCTTATAGAAACTGCTTCAAAAGATGTGGGAGATCATTTCCAGGAGTCACCTCCCAAGGCCTTAGACTCACAGAAACAAGAACCATCTAAAACGATAACATGGAAACACACCGCTAAAAATTGGACCAACTGCACAATTCCGGAGGGTGATGCAAATGTAATTGCAATAGAAGATGACATGGTACAAGGTGCTAATACTAACAACAATGTAAATAATAATTATCTAGAGAACCACAAATCATCTCCCCAAACTAGACCACCCAATATTGCCAACATGGTGTTCTGTAAAAGGCCACAAATCAAAATATCCTGGTGGAATAGATACGTTCTATGGATATTCGTTTTGGTCACTTCTACATTATCAACATTTTTTATCCTACTACATGGCCTGACCTTTAACTATGAAGCTTCGGTAGAGTGGTTGGTAGCCTCTGTTATTTCACTGTGGGTGAATGTGTTTTTGCTTCAAATTATGAATATTGCTATTTTTTCAGCCCTAAAGACACTCTATCCTAAAAACTGTAAAAGTCTTCAGTGGTCAAGCAAAGAGGCCTACTTAGAGATTAAACTAAGTGACATAAATATGGATGCGGATGATATGCGTGAATTACATTACGATTTAGTAAGAATGAGGGGCACCAAGCAGTACCATTCCCTGGAAGACGATGAAATCACTATTTTTAAGAAAAGGCAGAAAATCCAACGCCAAGCCTTCGTTTTCATAAAGGATGTTGCGTGCCATTTTGTCTTTTTGATCCTTGTTTTGAACATTGCTTACTCCATTGAAAACACCACAAGCTTTTATTACAACCAGGATATCCATAATAAATTTTCAAATGGGCTCTCGCATGTCACTAAAGTAGAGGACATTTATGCCTGGTTAAGAAAAGTCTTTCTGCCCTTGATTCACAATGACGAACAACCGACCTATCTTTCTGAGACTTGGTCCAAAATCCTTGGTGTACCCAGAATGCGACAAGTAAGGGCAAAACATACGAAAAAAGAATGTTTCTATCAACAAAGTTTTGTACATAAATTTGTGATTAGTAAAAGCCATTGTCTTCATAAATATGGCTTTGACAGAGAAGATCAACGAGACTATCTTGGGTCCTGGACACTCCCAGCCGATAAATCTGTTTCTGATAGTTTCACCAATATTTCAGGCTTCACTTATCAATCAGTTAGTGATCCATGGAAATATAGTTCATATGGAGAACTAAACACATACGAAGCAGGAGGCTACACGTTTAATTTTTACTCAGAAGAAAATTTGCGGAATTCAACAAAAAGAATCGATATTTTAGAAGAGAGCAATTGGCTTGATGAAGATACTTGGGCACTAATTGTGGAGATGACGACTTTTAATTCAGATGTAGACTTATTTTGCAGTATATCAGTTATATTTGAGCTTTCTTATTTGGGCCCTATCAACACAACCTTGTGGATCCATTCATACAAACTGCCAATCTTCAAGGAGCTAAGCAAGACAGAAAAGTTTGTTTATGTCGCTGTTGGTTACATGCTCGTCTTTTATATTATTGATGAATGTTACGTGGTGGAACGGCAAAGGCAAAAATACATCAAAACGGTCTCAAATTTAATTAATTTGGGAATAAAGGGTGTGTGCTTATTCTTTCTCCTGCAACTTGCATTCAAATTTCAGCTGGCTACTGACATATCCGAGTTGCATTTACTTCAGCCAGGTGAATTCATTCCATTTCATAAAGTTTCTCATGTTGATCGAACACTACGGATAACATTGGGGTTTTTGGCTTTCCTCATCGTTTTGAAAACTCTCCGCTATTCCCGATTCTTTTACGACGTGCGTTTGGCTCAACGATCCATCTTAGCAGCCCTTCCTGGCATTTGTTCCATGGCTTTAGTGGTGGCAGCGTACTTTTTTGTATACATGACCTTTGGCTACCTGGTATTTGGCCAGTATGAATGGAACTACAATACCATGACTCATTCTGCTCAGACTGTGTTTTCATATTGTGTTTCAGCTTTTAAAGACACTGCCTTTGAGTCCAACCGGGTGCTGGGCGGTCTCTTTCTAGCTTCGTTCATGATGGTCATGATCTGTGTTTTGATCAATTTATTTCAAGCCGTGATAATGTCTGCTTATGAGGACATGAAGCAGCCTGTCTATGAAGAACCTTCAGATGAAGCAGAGGTGGTAAATTTTCTGTTTAATAAGCTTCGCAGGATATGTTTTTTTATAACCTGCAGGAAAGCATCTACGGCTGATACAGAACTTTTCAATCGAGTTCTGTTTGGGCATCCAGAGAGAAGAAATAAGCATCACCTGGGCCTCAAAGCTAGAAAAGTAAATGGCCGGAAAATAGTTTATCTTGTCATATAAATCTTGGTTGTCATATGACTGAGTGAAAGGAACAAAAGCTGGAAATTTTTTAAAAGCACTGCCCAAATTATTAATCAATGCAAATTGGCTGGACCTGCAAGCTTAAGCGTTAACGTATATTTCAATATGTACAAGTGGCTTTGTTTGTGTTGCTTTGCTGTTTTACAGTGTATTGTCTGGGCAAATCCATTACAAAGTCTTGTTTGAAAATTCCACTGCTAAGAAATAATATTACCACGAATAAAACACTTTGTATTTGTTGTGGCATTCAGTTCTTTACTCGACATGTCTCATAAGACACTATATTTCATGCAAATGAAGGTGGACAAATACAGTGTTCCCTCACTACTTCGTGGTTTGCTTTTAGCGGACTCGCTGCTTCGCGGTTCTAAAAAAATATTAATTTACAATATATGTGCTGTCGCACGCTGGGCCTGTGCATAAGACTGTAGACAGGACATAAATTGTGTGTGCCCAACGGGACGCCGGGGCTGCCTCAGATTAAAGGCCCTTGGACCTCCCCAAAACAAAGTCTTTAGATTGCTTAAAGGTTCAACAAAGTTCTGTATTAATGAAAACAAACAGGTATTTCAAGGCTTTCTTAACAGTCTATAGGCTCTTTCAATCTTGTCCACAGGGAACAGGCACTATCTTCATGACTGGTATTTTAACTAATGGGGAAATCCTTAACTTCTAATCTGGGCAGTCTGTCTTTGCCTCTGTTGGCGTGGAGCCCCTGCACCCGGTACCAACTGCGTCTGGCTTCCGCGAGTGACCCTTACCAAGCAGAGCTTTGTAGACTTCCAGGGAAAAAGGAGTTCAGGTTTCGGTGATGGCTGGCTGAAGTCCCTCAGCAAAGGAGCTGTAAGGCTGTATGATCCTCAGCCAAGCTGTGGGCTGTATAACCCTGGCCAAGCTGAGGGGCTGTATCTCCCCAGCCAAGCAGTAGAAGACAAAGCTTTCTACAGGAGCTCTTGGTATTATGTCCTGCATGGAAAGCTTCTCTGTGTGGACTGAACCCGAACTGGCTCCTATTCCCTCCAAAACCCAAGGGGGGCGGGACCAGGGAACCTAACTATAATTGACAGGTGGCTTGCCCTATGATTGCAGCCAAAAGAAGCCACCTATCTGCAGAGTCCCTGAAACTTAGGACTACAACAAACATTCAATGCAAAGCAAACAAAATTGGAGCTCCTGGTACAGCTGTACCTGCACAATATATATTGCGGTATTTTTGCTGTTTCATGGGTTTTTGCTGCCGCCATTTTCTAAGGCACTTTCCCTCCTCAGTCCACTCTCCCTCCCTCCAGCCTTTTTTTTTTAAAAAAAATATTTTATTTAATAAAAGAAAATACACACAACAAGATACACTTTTATAATAATAAAATACAGTATATAGAAAGAAGCGGAGAGAGAATATAAGGGTATAAAAGAGTCAATAGCTTTAGATATATAGTATAGAGGTAAGGTTAGAGTAAGAAAAGTAGTAGTTGCAGAGTGTATAGTGTATGAAGGGGAGTGAGAATAAGAGAGGAAATAGTGGGGTGTGTGGGCTTTTCCTTCCTTTCCTCCACTTTTTTAAGTTTATAAAGACTTAAAATAGTGTATAACTACTAAAATAATGTACGAGGAGTATTTTTTAAGTAAGGTCCATTGGAACATAAGTACACAACGAAAGTTTATTTCAAAAAAGTAAATTTATTTTCAGAAAGTACATATTTCACTCTATTTTTCGACATAGTTGCCAAGTTTGTTCAAACACTTATCATACCAATTTTAAAATACCCTCCTCATAAATCCTCGCTTCAACTGAAGCCACCAAATCGTCTGTAATCAAAGAAGGGCGACCGGAGTGGTCCTCATCATGGACGTTGTCACGACCATCTTTGAATTGTCATACCCACTTACGCACTTTGCTTTCACTCATAACAGTATCACCGTACACTTCACAACTCTGTCGATGAATTTTTGAGGCAGGCAGGCTCCTTGCTGACAAAAACCGTATCACTGAGCGAACCTCACATGCGGCGGGTGAGTTGATAGTCTTAAACATTTTTAAAGCACAGAACAGAACCGTACAAGTTAGCTACAGAGCGGAAACTGAGCACAGTTGTTCCCGAGGCATGCCGGTACACGACGCACGCACTCGTTGCGGTATGCGCGTGAACTACTAGTGTCTACTACAAAATGGATCTTACTTTTAAAAAATACCCCTGGTATAAATATTAAAATAAATATAGCATGCCTACATCGCAGTTTTTCACTTATTGCGGGAGGTCCTGGAACGTAACCCCCGCAATAAGTTAGGGAACACTGTACAAAGTCCACAACCTCACAAGGCCCCAACCACTTTTGAACCTGAGAACAACTCCAAAGTGGCAGTTGGTGCTGGGGGGAGGGATCCCCCACTGATGACATATGAAGGAGACAAGATAGAACTGTTCCCTGGCCCCCTCTCTCTTCACTCTGCGCCAGAGTGGCAGTTGGTGCTGGGGGAGGGCTCCCCAACTGATGACATATGCAGGAGACAAGATGGAACTGTCCCCTGCCCCCCTCCCTCTTCACTCTGGCCCAGAGCGGCGGTTGGTGCTGGGGGGAGGGGTCCCCAACTGATGACATGCAGGAGACACGATGGAACTGTCCCCTGGTCCACCCTCTCTTCTCTCTGGCCCAGAGCAGGAATTGGTGCTGGGGGGAGGGGTCACCAACTGATGACATATGCAGGAGACAAGATGGAACTGTCCCCTCATCCCCCCTCTCTTCACTCTGGCCCAGAGCAGCGGTTGGTACTGGAGGGAGGGGTCCCCAGCAGATGACATATGCAGGAGACAAGATGGAACTGTCCCCTCATCCCCCCTCTCTTCACTCTGGCCCAGAGCAGCGGTTGGTACTGGAGGGAGGGGTCCCCAGCAGATGACATATGCAGGAGACAAGATGGAACTGTCCCGTGCCCCCCTCCCTCTTCACTCTGGCCTAGAGCGGCAGTTGATGCTGGGGGGAGGGGTCCCCAGCTGATGACATATGCAGGAGACAATATGGAACTGTTCCCTGGCCCCCTCTCTCTTCGTTCTGGCCCAGAGCAGCAATTGGTGCTGGGTGGAGGAATCCCCAGCTGATGACATATGCAGGAGACAAGATGGAACTGTCCCCTGGTCCCCCCTCTCTTCACTCTGGCCCAGAGCGGCAGTTGGTGCTGGGGGGAGGGGTCCCCAGCTGATGACATATGCAGGAGACAAGATGGAACTGTCCCCTGGTCCCCTCTCTCTTCACTCTGGCCCAGAGCGGGTTGGTGCTGGGGGGAGGGGTCCCCAACTGATGACATATGCAGGAGACAAGATAACTGTCCCCTGGCCCCCTCTCTCTTCACTCTGGCCCAGAGTGGCAGTTGGTGCAGGGGAGGGGGTCCCCAGCTGATGACATATGCAGGAGACAAGATGAACTGTCCCCTGGCCCCCCTCTCTCTTCACTCTGGCCCAGAGCGAGATTGGTGCGGGGGGGAGGGGTCCCCAGCTGATGACATATGCAGGAGACAAGATGGAACTGTTCCCTGGCCCCCTCTCTCTTCGGTCTGGCCCAGAGCAGCAGTTGGTGCTGGGTGGAGGGACCCCCAGCTGATGACATATGCAGGAGACAAGATGGAACTGTCCCCTGGTCCCCCCTCTCTCTTCACTCTGGCCCAGAGTGGTTGGTGCTGGGGGGAGGGGTCCCCAACTGATGACATATGCAGGAGACAAGATGGAACTGTCCCCTGGCCCCCTCTCTCTTCACTCTGGCCCAGAGCGGGAATTGGTGCTGGGGGGAGGGGTCCCCAACTGATGACATATGCAGGAGACAAGATGGAACTGTCCCCTGGCCCCCTCTCTCTTCACTCTGGCCCAGAGCGGGAATTGGTGCTGGGGGGAGGGGTCCCCAGCTGATGACATATGCAGGAGACAAGATGGAACTGTCCCCTGGCCCCCTCTCTCTTCACTCTGGCCCAGAGCGGCAGTTGGTGCTGGGGGGAGGGGTCCCCAGCTGATGACATATGCAGGAGACAAGATGGAACTGTCCCCTGGTCCCCCCTCTCTCTTCACTCTGGCCCAGTGTGGCAGGTGGTGCTGGGGGGAGGGGTCCCCAGCAGATGACATATGCAGGAAGACAAGATGGAACTGTCCCCTCGTCCCCCCTCTCTTCACTCTGGCCCAGAGCGGCAGTTGGTGCTGGGGGGAGGGGTCCCCAGCAGATGACATATGCAGGAGACAAGATGGAACTGTCCCCTGGCCCCCCCTCTCTTCACTCTGGCCCAGAGCGGCAGTTGGTGCTGGGGGAGGGGTCCCCAGCTGATGACATATGCAGGAGACAAGATGGAACTGTCCCCTGCCCCCCCCTCTACATTCTGGCCCAGAGGGGCAGTTGATCTGGGGAGGGGTCCCCAACTGATGACATATGCAGAAGATAAGATGGAACTGTCCCCTGGTCCCCCCTCTCTTCACTCTGGCCCAGAGCGGCAGTTGGAGCTGCCGGGAGGGGTCCCCAGCTGATGACATATGCAGGAGACAAGATGGAACTGTCCCCTGCCCCCCCCTCTACATTCTGGCCCAGAGGTGCAGTTGATCTGGGGAGGGGTTCCCAACTGATGACATATGCAGAAGATAAGATGGAACTGTCCCCTGGTCCCCCCTCTCTTCTCTCTGGCCCAGAGCAGGAATTGGTGCTGGGGGGAGGGGTCCCCAACTGATGACATATGCAGGAGACAAGATGGAACTGTCCCCTGGTCCCCTCTCTCTTCACTCTGGCCCAGAGCGGGAATTGGTGCTGGGGGGAGGGGTCCCCAGCTGATGACATATGCAGGAGACAAGATGGAACTGTCCCCTGGTCCCCCCTCTCTTCACTCTGGCCCAGAGCGGCAGTTGGAGCTGGGGGGAGGGGTCCCCAGCTGATGACATATGCAGGAGACAAGATGGAACTGTCCCCTGCCCCCCCCTCTACATTCTGGCCCAGAGGGGCAGTTGATCTGGGGA